TGTTAACAAGAAGACAGGTGCCCCTTATGCAGAGAAAGGTTGTTCGATGTGTCCCACATACTGGAAACATGACATGCCTTGGCTCCCTACAGGGAGCGTGCGTGTAGGCATGCCATACAATCTGAAGATGGTACTCGAGCACTGCAGCGCGTTTCAGGGTCCCCTGTTCCGCTTTTTAGGGGAAATTGGTTTTTTTTATTGTATATAATATGTCTTATGTGTTGTGTGTCTATATGTTTTGTCTGAGTGCATGTATTTATTAGCGTGAATGGCGAGGGGTGAGGGAGAAATATAACATCATCATCGCCCCTCGTTCGGGGTCGATGGCGGAATATTTATAAAAGTACTCCATCGACCCCAATCTAGATTAGTTTGAGTATAGGTCGGTGGAGGAATATCAAGTACTCCACCGACCAAACGGAATGAGTGTATTGTATGGATGTATTTATGTGTATGGATGTATTTATGTGTATGAATGTATTTATTTGTATGAATGTAGTGTTTGAAAGGGTAAATACAATACTGACTTAGTTGGGGGCTAAAATGACCTAGATGTCGGAAGCCCCAGTAAAAAAAAAGTGCCAGCTATCATGTTTATACATTTAAACGATGTTTGTCTCGATCTTTCGTTTTTCGTTATTTAGCTTCTGAATTTAAAGTAGAAACAAATCATTAAACAAAATATTCGTAAGATTTCTTCTTGAGGTCTGCAGGGTGATGAACCTGTAGTTAGTAATTAACGCCCTTTCTGGTCTGCCTGGTTTCACTGGTTTGGACGGTCAGTCGCGTTTCCCATTGCAACCAGTTTCAACCGTCTTATTTGTAGTAATTTCATAAACTCACCATTGAATATGCCGAAACGTCGGGGATAGGCAGACGAGGATGATTAGGTAAAGACCACAAACTACCGGTAATGCTGACGGTGAACCGAATTACTGAGCTATTTCTTGGGGGGGTAAAACCCCCAGGTGGCGGCCTTCAGGTAGAACATCACCCTTAATGGTACCTCGGATCGCATTCTCCTCTTTTCAAAGACTCCCAACGACTTTTCGGGTGGGTCACGATGGAATTTATCCACGTTTTCCTATTACTATACGTTCAGAAAAATCGTGGAGACATGTTTTCCGTTTATGGAGATTTTTATAGGTTTGATTTGGATGTGGATAACAATTTCTAAAAGACTATTTGAAAATGAGAAAAGTGACATCAAAGAAATAGCGCACTGCATTAGCAAAATGTGTTATTTGCTTGTACAATTTGCAATCAAGAGCTAGTGAGATTTTTTTTTAGTAGATCGATGTAAGACTGAGTCACTCCTCTATTTGTTGACTATGTGTTCACTTAACAGTCCTGCTATTAGTTTCAATTTTTAGTTTAATTCTTTCTGGCCTTTTTGCTTTTCCTTTTTCTAAATGTCAATGGTCTCTGATGCAAGAGTTGAGTGTCGACCTTAGAACATCGAAACAGAACTGCATTTCCTACTTTACTTTTTCTAAATTAGTTTTGCCAAATTCACCATCCCTTCATTGCTATGAAAATTAAAAACTGTGCAATCTATAATAAATCCTTTTTACTATTTAAAAATGTAATATCATATAAGTTTGGGAAACAGTTAAAATCTTTTGAAGATTGGGATGCTCGATCGTCAAACGAATTTAATCGAAACAGTTTTAAAAAAAGCTAACTGGGAAAACAACTAGCATTATTTGAAAACATTGCTAGTATCATTTTTTAAACATTTAAATCTCAGGAATTAGCTGTCTTGGTCCAGAAAAAATCCCTAAAAATTTATAAGGGCCCAAACCTAGACAACTCTAACCAATTTTGTAAAGTTCACTTTGTAAGTAATTATACTAATATTTTTAATTTTTCTTTTCAGCAAAACAACCTTCTGGCGCATCCAACTTGACTAGTTTCAGAAAAATTCCTTTAAAAATTGTAGTCAAAACTTTGACATTCTAGAAACTTTAGAAGATAAATACAACTTTTTAAATACTTTTTTTTCTAGGCACAAGATACATTAATTTTAGTACAGGACATTTTTTGAAGTAATATACATGATTTTAGGTGTTTTTTTTTCAGTTAATAGACAACCTTTTGGCGCAGTACTTGACTTCTTTCAATTCTTATCTCTTTCTAAAAATTAAGAAGTGTCCAAACTTTGACGAATAAAAATTTGTATAAACCATTTTCTAAGTAATATATAACTTTTTTAATTATTCTTTTTTCTAGATGAAGGCCATCTTCTTACGTTTCTTTGTTTTGCTCCAGAAAAACCCCTAAAAACTGAAAATGGTCCAAACCTTGACAACTGTGCACAATGTATATATCAAAGTTTGGATATGTCACAAGAACGTAAATGTACAGATGTTTTTCAGAGTTTTGTCACTTTCTGGCATATCCTTCCTGTCTTGCTCCCGAAAAACAAATCCCTAATAATTGAAAATGATGTCAAACTTTGACCACTCTACACCGCGTGTATATAAAATATTGTTTATGCCCCAGGAACATACTAGTAAACATTTTTTTAGTTTTCTTTTCATGACAATCTTCACAAGACAATCCTCTGGCGAAGCCCAGTTGTCTTGTTTCAGAAAAGTCCTCTACATATTGAAAAGTGTACGAACTTTGACAACTATGCAAAATTTTGTAATGGTAATTTTGTAAGTAAAAGGTATATACCTTTTTTAATCCTTTTTTTCTAAATCAAAAACAAGCTTCTAACTTCTTGTTCCAGAATAAAAATTAGTAAAAATTCAAGAATATTCAAACTTTGACAACTCTACATCATGCATACACAATATTTTGTACGTCATTTTATAAACACATAATAGACCAATATATCTTTTGTAGAGAATTTTGTCTTGTTCCAGAAAAACATCTCTAATAATTGAAAAGGGTCCTAATGTTTACAACTCCAACGAATACATCGAATTTTGTATAGGTCAGTTTTTTAAGTAATGTATACATTTTTTAATCCTTTTTTTTCTAGAAATGTAAAGACAACTTCGGACGTACCTTGTCTTCTTCCGGAAAAAGCCTAATAATTAAAAAAGTCTTGACCTTGACAACTTTGCACCCTGTATACATCAAATTTTCTACAGATGGTTTTAAGGTTTTAAGTAATATATACTTTTTTGATTCTTTTTTTTTTCTAGATCAAGACAAACTTCCGACGTGTCCTTATCTTGTTCCAGAAAAAAACCTAAACATCAAAAAGTGTCCCAACCTTGACCGTTCTACATCACGTGTATTTAAAATTTTGTTTGGCACAGGAACGGATTAGTATACATTTTTTCAGTTTTTCAAGTAAAAAGACATTCTTCTAGTTTATCCTAGTTGACTTTATTTCAAAAAATCCTCTAAATATTGAAAAGTGTACAAACTTGGTTAACTTATACATGATTTTTTTTTTAGAATTTCACGCAAAACCAATGTGACACCACTAAATAGCACCACACATTATGCCCTGGAGATGACCCGAATAAAAGTAGAAACGTCGGAAAAAATGAAAAAAGTTTTTTCTAAAATACTTCATTTTGACAACTCCTCACGACTCCAACAAATTATACATGAAGTTTTTTTTCAGGAACAAGACAATCTTCTAATATGTCCAACATGTATTGTTTCAGAAAAATCCTTTAAAAGTTAATAGGAGTCAAAACTGACGACTCGACACCATATATACATACATTTTATACCATATATACATACATACATATAGGTCATTTTTTATGTAATATAGATGATTTTTTGAGGTTTTTTCGGTTACTAGACAACCTTCTGGCATATACTTCTTGTCTTGCTCCTGAAAAAAACACCTAATAATTGAAAATGGTCCAAACCTTGACAACTCTACAACACGTGCTAAAATGTTGTGTATGTCACAGGAACGTATTAGTACACATTTTTTCAGAGCTTTTTTCGAGAACAAGACAATCTTCTGATTTATCCAATATGTCTTGTTTCAGAAAAATTCTTTAAAAATTGACGAAAGTCAAAACTGACAACTCGACCATGTATATATCAAATTTTGTATAGGTCATGTTTAAGTAATATAGATTTTTTTTCAGTTACTGGACAACCTTCTGGCAAAAAACACCTAATAATTGAAAATGGTCCAAACCTTGACAAATCTACACCACCTGCATGTAAAATGTACATACCTCAGGAACGTATTAGTACCCATTTGTTAAGAGTTTTTTCAGGAAAACAAGACATGTCTTGTTCCAGAAAAGTCCTCTAAAAATTGAAAATGGTTTTAATTTCGTGTATGTACAATATTTTGTACTAATCGTGGTCACATCTTTTGAAAACCAAACAATAGACACTTTAAAAAAAAAAATCGCTGTACCCAATGCAATTTGTTTTTATCAATTATTTATTTTGATATGCATTGTGTATAAAAAAATTGTTTTATTTTGTTTTTAAATGTCAAATTTACAAGATAACGAAGAGAAGAACTGATCAAATAATTAGGGAACGTCCCAACTTCGAACGACCGAAACTAATCGCTAACTCTAACTACCACGCAGGGGAGAAAGAGGACAAAAGGGAGAGAGGCTGAAAAAGAATTACAAACGTCAACAACAAAGTGGATAAGAAAAATCCTAAGATCGAATTTCAAGTCAACAATTTTTTTTATTTGTCGAACGTGCCTCTCGTGTCAACGCTATTGACCTATTAATTGAATTAAAACACGATAATCCTTTAAAAATCCGACTTGTTCGACAAAAAAACAGTTCTGTTTATAATTGTTACGCAAATAGAAGATTCGTTGACCCCCCCGGACGTTCAAACTCGTGCCGAGGGACCACTTGTTGAGTTTTGGTACTACCAACATATAAAAACATAATTCAAAACTACCTTTTATATACGATACAATTATAAAATAGAGGCCGTTTTTATTTTATTGTATAATTTAAAAAGTTGTTTTTTGTTAATATTTTAAATTTTGTTAAAAAAAAGACATGACAAGAACTAAACATAACAAAACTCACCACTTCTATTGAGGCTGTCGACTGGCGTTGCTTCTGTACGCAAAACAGTTTTAAGCCTTTTGATGACCGGTGTCCACGAAAGTGGTTCTTAGTGAGTCGTTTATCCAGCGGAAAAAAGAACGCACAACACGGTCACAGAACGAACACACTGGGACTGCTGTTGCTGTTGGTGTTGGATGCAATAAACAACAAACGAACAACGACGAAGAGCGAAACTACACGAACGCAACTGAAGTTACTGAACTGAACGCTGTCCAGGTGCCAAGGATTTTTGAGTTGGTCTGCTCCCCTCCTTGCACTTCCATAGTGCAGCGCTCCCTACTCTTCCTCATGCCAATGTCATCTAGGCCTAGCAGACTAGGATTTTTAAAACAATTATTTCTATATTTTCGCCTACTATAAACTTATACAATTAGGTGCAATTCCATCTAATGATATTGGGCCAAAAACGATTCATGTAAAAAACATTTAAGTTGTAAATAAAGTCAAATAGACAAATAGGTGCATGCAGTTCTATTTTTATAGTTAAAAAGTTCTATTTTTATAGTTAAAAAGTTCTATTTTTATAGTTAAAAAGTTCTATTTTTATAGTTAAAAAGTCCTATTTTTATAGTTAAAAAGTTCTATAAATACGTTTTCGATGTAAAGGAGTATTTTGTAATATTTAAAATCTAATACAATTTAGTCTTACATTGCTTTTCTGGTTCTGCAAGTCATTGTAACTGAGGCTGTTGGTTCTGTGTCCCTCATAATGCAACCACTAGATCTTCATACTATTAATGTCATCCCCATTGTAAAACTAGGACTTGATTTGATGTCAAATCACTTAGACACAACTCTTGACAATGTCACCAAACTTAGATCAGATTAAATTATAGTAGGACCTGTCCTCTTTACAACCTGGACCGCGACCAGTATTGGTCTATTTTGTATCTGTTGTCTAGAACTCCTCATTAAGGTTAAATCTTTTTACCAAAAAAGCTTTTTCAAGGACTTCCATGGTATTCTTCTTGTCTCCAGGAGTAGGAAACTTAACCTCTTTGCACCAACAGAGTACATCCACTTTCTTCTTCCGGGTAAATTTTCAAAGGCTTGTTTCTGCCACTCCAAGCATCTGGTCTATCCATGTAGCAGTCCTATTATTCTAGTTTTAATAGTTCTGCCGTTAATTTCTGTAATGGTCCTTTGATGAACTTTTACGCATGCCTTTGTCCTAGGCAACACCCCCATTTAACGCAGCTCTTATTTTTAATCCATTGTTTTTGGCAGTTTGATATGCAACAAAAGGGTTCAGGGTGTGTGTAGGTTCAATAGGTGTCCTCATTGAACTTTCCTTGGCCAATTTATCAGCCTCTTCGTTGCTCATACCCCCTTGGCTAGTACCCAGACAAGGGTAATTTTGTGTTTTCACCTATGTCTGACAGGGGCCTGATGCAATCAATAACGACTCTGAATTTTATCACTGATGCGGTAATTGCCCTCAGTGCTGCCTGGCTGTCCGAATAGATGGCTATTCTTCTGTTAACGCTACCTAGCCAATTACTCTCCTTGACACCACAGGCTCCACTTAAAGACAGTGGCATATTACCCAAGGCCCAATTGAAATGTTTTGTCAAATTTGAATTTAAAGAAACAGATATCTGCAGAACCCTGTCCTGCCTTAAGCTCACTTGAAGCTTTTGTGGCTACTTGTTATGCACATAGGCTAATGTGTCCCTTCATTAGCCTGTGGCTCTGGTTTTTCACTGGATAAAGTTATGTGGTAGATTCAGGACTTTCAGGGCAGCAGTGCGGATTGTCTCATTGCCACAGTGGAAAGAAAAAATCCCCTTGGTCCGTCTTTCCGAAGATAAGCACTACACGACACACTTCCCTTCCAACAGTGAAAAATTCCAAGAACTCTACCACACTTTATATAAGTTTGTATTTGTAATGAACAGTCTACTTCCTGTAGTACTCTATTAAATAAAGCAGTTTTCACGGCATTGCTCTGAGTTAATAATTGCGAAGGGAAGAATATGAAATGCATCTTATCAAAAAACAATGAGACAGTCCAAAATGATCATAAACGATCAAATTTTTGTCCTTTTCTATGCTTCTGAGAAGTTCACTATACAAAAGTGAAGATGTGCATCAAAAGGGCCACTGGATTTTTTAAATGTTTATTTAGCAGGAAATGTGTAACGGCTTTTTTAGTTGGTGGACAATCAATGTCCTTTCTACATGAGTTGGTATGAAGACTCAAGCAACGATATATGACGTGACAGCATTGAAAAGTAGGTTTGACATTTAGTTAAATCTAATGGAATAAGCAATTATTTATTTAACAAATTTGTAACCAAACTAAAAATTCAACAAATTTAAAAGATTATTGTTTATTTTAATAAGTCCTTTTAATTATTTTATGGTGGATAATTTTGGTTATGTTGGCGTTTACATTTGGCAGCACATCCATTGTTCTAACAGCCATCTGAAACAGTAATTTTAGAATTTAGATTATTGTACAATCAGTCCATAAATATAGTAAAATGTAGTGAGAAAAACTGTCAGTTATTATTTTAAAGAAATGGGTTCTTACTATCCGGGATATTTGAATTTTTTCAGAGACAATTTAATAACTATATTTTTACACAGAAAAGAGAGAGAAATATGTATAATGTATAAATAATGTTACCTCTATTTTATTGACAATTTCTACTTCTCGTTCTCCTGACACAAAATTAATTACTGAACAATCTTGAGGACTTCCACATCTCCCTGTCCTTCCACATCGGTGAATATAATCAGCCATATAAAGGGGAAAATCGAAGTTAATTACTTGCTTTACCTAAACATTATAACTACAATTATAATATACATTTTACAACAGATTTATTCAAAGTATATTCTTACGTGTTTCGTGTCTAGTCCTCTTGAGGCAATATCAGTACAAGATAAAATTTTGATCTTCTGTTCTTGAAAATCTCTAAATTTTCCAGAACGAATCACTACAGGCATGTTACCATTTAGGTTTATAGAAGGTATGTGGTTTTCTCCTAGCAATAATGAAATCCAGTCAGAAGTTGATGATTTATTGCTGTAACATTAAAAAAAAAATTAATTAACATTATAATGAAGTGCGATAAGGCTCTGTACCTAAAAATAATTGTAGGCTTGTTGTCTCTCAAAGCGGCCCTGGCCAAATGCAGAATTTTTCCAGATTTGTCAGAAGGGCCAAGCCTATAAAAAATTTGTGGCACGTGGGGCATCACTCTATGCAATCGTGGTGAGGTGAGTTTCACGAGTGAATCGGTCTAAAGTTATATTTAAATCCATTTAATACATAATTGTTTTAATAATTATAATCAGTTAAATAATATTACTTCAATAAATTCTTGAAGGATTGTGTACAGACTTGTAGGTTTTGTTGCACTTGCAAGTGTAAGCTGACATCCTTTTGCTCCTGTGGCACCTTCTTTTGTGTACATTATCTAGAATTAAATTACACTTATATACATATAGATAGTAAAATATGATTGTTTTGAACTACTGACCTGGAACTTTTTCATAAAACGAAGAAGAAGATCATTAAAACTGTCATCAAGCATTGTATCCGCCTCATCAAGGACAAGGTGGCGAACCTCTTTGACATCAAATAAACCTGCACAGTCCCATTGTTATTTTGTCTGTGAAAAATAAGATTTAAAAAATGTATACCCATCGTTGTAAGTTTGCTGATAACACCGATGGTGGTTATTTGTAAATCGACATTTTTAAAGTCGGGGTTAAGCATCTTTTTCTTGGTCCTTCCTCCTACAAGCATTTCACAACGAAATGGGAGTTGATAGGATAGTTTTTTGGCTATTTCCTACAACAATAAAATATCTAGAAAAATAGTACAATTTTACATTGAAACATTGTACTTGTCCAGTGCTGTTAATCATGTGTAAGCAGTCTTCCTTTATCTTAATACTGATTTTTAAGAGCTCAAATGCAAGTACAGCCAAATCCCGATATATATATCGTATCTTCAAGAGGACGAAGGTTAAATACGATATATTGACATGTTCACCATATCAAGATTGTGGTATAATGATAAAAAAATGAATGAAACATACATTATATCAAAAATTAATTTTATTTTGAGTGTGTTGTATATGTACGAATGCATGTAAGTTTTTATACATTCACGCTAATAAATACATTCACTTTCAACACATGCTAGACACAAAACTATCAGTATTATACACAATAAAACAACCCTGTTTCTTCCAAGAATCGAAACAAGGGACTCAAATACTACTGTGTTCAAGAAGTTCACATATCGGTGGCATCCTTATTAAGGATTCTTTTAGACGAGGTGGTTTGGTTGATTCAACCAAGTTGCCTGGTTGACTATCAACTAGTTTAATGCAGTGTGGTTGGTGGTTTCACACCAGGCAACTTATGGAATCAGCTTTTCTTCCCAACGGGAGGTCAGTACGTTAGGATCTGAGGAAGCTAAAAAAAAAAAAAGAAAAAAAGAGAAGCAAAAAATGAGGAAACCCAATAAAGAAAAGTGTGGGTTCATCCATTGTTAAAAAATTGGGAAATGGCGCTTTCTCTCAAATAGTGTTGTGCTACTTCCCTCCAAGCTCTGCTTCTTTTAATTTTATTACTATAATCCTCACCCCTCATGTCCCATATCACAGGACTCATATGAATATCTTTAATGAACTGTTCCACATTGAAACTTGCTTTCCACGGTGAACTCAGTTGATTCAACTAGGCAACTGGTGTGAAGGATGAATGCCGAGCAGTCTTTTGAGTTGAGTCAAGTAGTAGGGATGAGAACGTGAGCGGCACTTGTGCCTGCTGGCCACCCACCTGGGCGGACGAGTGGACTGCGTGTTTAGGGGTCGGGGCAATTCCCAAACATTTTGCTTCCACGTTCACTCCTTGACACCTGCCTGTTCAACTGGTTGAATCAACTAGTTGCTTCATCTGAAAGAGGCCTAAGAGTCAAGGAATAGTAGCATTCAATTAAGAAGGGAAATATTGAGCAGTCTTTCCCTACAAGCTAGACACATACATCACATTGTTGCTCCTAAGAAAGTGTACATGTGTCAACCTCGCATGGCCTATCCTTAATCGAGTGAGGATGACTCTTCTATGAGTCAGGTCCTTTGAAGGCTACCTGCCAACACATCTTTATGTACAAGAGCTCTGCCTTCCCAACCCATTGACGCTGCCATCATTTTTTTTTATTGTAGTTTTATTGCAGTTTTACTGAATAGTGGTGGTTAAAGGTGGAGGTTTTTATTCTGGTAATAAATTGAATTTTATCTCAATACAAAACCAGCTATAGCCAATTTCTCTCTAGTTATAGCTAAATTATTCACCCTGTCTACTTCTTCATTCCTGGCAGCCCTATGAGGCTGGGAACCTACACCAACAAGACTTTTTTCCACCACTTTTTATGTCGACTATTTTAATTGTTATTTTATTTTATTTTATAGGGGGTGCACAGAGGCTTTTCTATTGAGCTCCAGAAAGGCAAATATTATTTTAAATTTATGTTTTTAAGTAAATAAAGTAAGCAATGTAAGTAGTAAATAATGTAAGTAAAAAAAAATTTCTAGAACTAGTTGAATTTAACCATTTCTATTATGATGTGATATTAATGTGAATAACTATTATTTGTGTATAAATAAATAAAAAAAGTACCCCTATTTGAAACACAAGCTCTCTATTTGGACATAAAATCATAGCTAGAGGTGTATTTGGAGGCCTTGATTTTCCTTCCCGGTTCCATTCCACCAACTGCTGTACAATCGGCAGTAGATACGCCAAAGTCTTCCCACATCCTGTCTCAGCTGTTATAAGCGCATTACGGCCTGACAAAATAGTAGGTATAGATAATTCCTTAAAAACAACAGTTCCTATAATATATTACATTTTTTAATGATACACAATTGTTATGAACTAACTTGGATAAATGTTGGATTATAAATCCCCAGAGAGTTCACTGCATCGACGACAGCACTCTCTAGGTTGAGATCTGAAAAAGATTTATTACTGTCGTCCCAATAAAGCTCGTCTTTATTTTTATCCTGAAAAAGCATTATATTTATTTACAATACAAGAGAGAGTAAAATAAATATAACAATCACCTCGTTATAAATTTGTATTTTGAAATAATCCCCTTTAGATTTGTAGTGGTTCCAACCTTTCGATGCCAATGGGATTGGGGCGAGGTGATCGTATTTTTGATTTCTGTAATGGTTGAACTCAGATCGTTTACACTCAATAATTGGGGGTCCCTAAAATTAATTACTTACAACAATGCTATTGTAAAAGCTAATTCAGACTGTAAATAATGTTTATAAATATGTACAATGTTTCATAGGTAAGAAACAAAAATAGCTTTTTATTTAAATCATTTTTGTACTACTGGACGGCTTAAGGTCCAACTATTTGCAAGGTGTGCAGACTAGGACTATAAACTAAACCATTTTCTGTAAAGGTTGTTGCAAAAAAAACCAAAATTGCAATATTGTTTAACTGTAGTATTTTTCCTGCAGCCATAAGCAAGAGATCTTTGAAAAGATCATTGCTATAACTGGTACTGAGTTACTTATTAGATCTGTCTTTTCTTGCGGGTTTGTTAAGACAGACTCAGCAAGTAACCCAGTGCTGGTTCAACATGAGTTCACTGACTCGCAGACCAACACCCAGCATCGATAACTGGTAACTTTCATTAGTGATTCCCACTGCTTTTTTTTCCTCATTCCTTTGGCTGTCAAATATAATAATATTATTATATTTTATAGAATTAATCCAATAAAAAATGCTTAAAGATAGAAATATACAGTATAAAAAATATAACAATATAAAAGCAAAAATAAGAAAACAAAGGAAAAAATTACTTAAGTATTAAACAATATGTAAAGTAAAAAAATAACTTAAAAGAATGTTTCAAATATGTAAATATAAAAAAAATAACATTTATCATTGTTATTTTAATTTGTCATTGTAAATTAATATAAATTTTTTTAAAAATATTATATAAATAATATTAGAAAACAATTATATAAAAACATGTTAAGTAAGTAAAAATTAAGAGTTTTTTTGTGCATATTTAGATGAATTATTCTGTAAAAATTTTTAATTAGAAATAATATAAGTTAAATATGGAAATATATATACATATACATACATAAATGTAGATAAGTGCAAGTTAAATAATTTATATGAAAAACATTTCATTGTTATAGAAATAATGAAAGATAATTCAACTTAAAATATACATAATAATTCAAGATTTAACAAGTCTGCATATTTGACTGTAGAATTAAAAAGAAGAATTAAAGATTTTAAGATTTGAAAAGTTATTGGCTGAACACTTCATTCTGTCAATAGGAATCTTTTACTATAGTATAGAATGGTATGGTATATGGTAGTAGAATGGTAGGAAATTTGTAAAAGTCTATTATGCCTGGTCAAGTAGCTCGGTACAGAAAAGGTAATTTGACTAAGTAAAAAAAATGACTGTCAATATGGTAGTTAATTATTTTGAGGAAAAAAAAAAAAGAGTGAAGTTTATGTGCATGTAGGGAAACTATACAATGATGTGGGAAATTTATGGGCTGACAAACTGCTGAGGTTGTCACCAGCCCTCTGTGTGTTTCCCTTCTTTTTCTGGTCTTTCACACATTTTTCATTTTAAGCTGCAGTTGATCAAGCTCTCAAACTGGTTACTGACATGTTTAATATGTGTACTACATCAATATTCTCAAGTGTTAGCCTCTAATTTGTACCTCAGGTTGTTAACTACAGACTAAACACAAAACATACAATACATATTTATACATCACCACCCCATACAAATATAGAAGTCTGATCATTCACTCCTCCAGAGTACCCGATATTCCTCAGGGTGGGGTCGAACCCATTCTATTCTCACTGATTATTCGGAGATCGTGAGATGTGGTGAATTTATACAATGATACAAAATTTTAGATAAATAATTTATACAATACTAGAAAATTTTAGATTAAAAAAAAAAAAAATGAATTTATACAATGCTAGAAATTTTAGATTAAAGAAAAGAAAAGAATTTATACAATGCTAGAAATTTTACAATTAATTAAGGTTTTTAGTTGAAATGAAAAAAGTGAATGGCACGAGAGGTCATGACAGCTCAGGTGGTAGAGCAGCGGCGTATCTAGCCGAAGGTCGTGGGTTCAAATCCCTCTCGTGCCATTAACTTTTTTTCATCTCAACTAAAAACCTTAATTAATTGTAAAGTATTAATTGGTCAAGCGGACCACGAAAATGGTGAATTTAATGCTAGAAATTTTAGATTAAAGAAAAAAAATGAATTTATATAATGCCAGATAATTTCAGATTCAAAAAAATGAATTTATACAATGCTAGAAATTTTAGATTAAAGAAAAGAAATGAATTTACACAATGCTAGAAAATTTTAGATTAAAAAAAATGAATTTATACAATGCTAGAAATTTTAGATTAAAGAAAAAAAAAATGAATTTATACAATGCTAGAAATTTTAGATTCAATCAAAGTATTTGTGTAGTCTCACTCAAGTACTCACTCAGTGTTTGTTTTCCGTGTAGATGTGTCATTCTTGTCTGTCGTGTTGAGAGTGCTAGTGAGATATTGATGTTTTATGTTTATATACGTTGGATTTTTAAGGGGTGGGGAGGGAAGTCAGGAATAGAAAGACATTTTTATATATGAGGAGTCGGCTTCTTTGAGGTGAAATGTGCTGAGCTGACATAAAAAAAAATAGGGAATGGTTCGCCTGATTATCTTTTCAAGATTATATACTCGGGGATAATTAGGGAAAGGAAAGCCAAATTGTTGAAGAATTAACTGAAATGTTTGATGTGTGGAATGTGATGATTGTTTTATATGTTGTATTGTATGTTTTGTGTGTCCTGCGGTACGAGTCTACACAAGCATTTAACCCCTCGGGTCTTGGTCGCCCACCCTGCGTAACATATGTTTTGTGTGATGATATATGTATGTTATCGATATTCTCACAAATAATTACTATCTAGACGTCACACTCACTCCAGAGCACTCGATATTCCTAGGCGTGAGATTATACAACCCCATTCCTTTCATGCTAATAAATTACGTTCATTCCAATAAATTAACAACACAATACAAACACTACATATACATTAAAAATCCCTAAAGCCCTGAGGTACCGGAACAATGTCCACTAGACTATGCTGTATAGTACACTGGTCTGATGATATGCGAAAATATTGTCTACACATATCAAGTCTTCTACAATTAAAAAAGTGTTCGACTGTTATTTCATCCTTGCATACCGGTAACTACAGTTGCTTTCCTACCAGGTGCCTTTATGTTATTCTTGAAATACCTAGTCATAGTTTAGCTTTTAAAAAGAATTGAAAAACAATCGGAACATGTTTCACAAGTGTTGCGAAGCAATGTTATGTCTAAGAAACATTGTTTACCGTCTTAAGGCTAAAACTTCAATTAATCGCACCTTTTTCTGTTCGATCTGAGGTGTTTCATGTTGTTTTGGACTCTCCAGAACTTTATTTCCGTAACGATTGGCGTCCTTTAGGTCGAATAGATCCAAAACATCAGCTTCGGTAGAGAGAGGCTTACACTGCAAACGAAACTTAAATTGTTATGCTATAATTGACACGTTCGACTTTATGAATTTACCAAAACGTTTGAACATGGGACCTGAAATTGTTGCCTGTGCAAGCATGACAAACGTTTTAATAAACGCATGGTCCTTCTGAGGAGTGTTTTACGGTTTAAAAACGATAAGGCTTTTAAGGTAACTATAACCGTAATATCGAACAATTTCGTCCGATTATTACAATTTTATATCGATGTGGACACATTTTTTAATAAAAACAATTGCCTTTATTGATAATTTTATGAACCTAATTTGGGAGGAGGCTTTAATAAATTTAAAGATACAACTAAATACAATGGGCCCGATTAAGAATATGCCATACGCGTTTGACTCACGGACAATTTTGTGCTAAACCCACGTGAGAGTTTTCTCGATGTGTCCCACTTCGTCGAGTGCCATTCCTTGGCTCCATATAGGGAGCGTGTAGGATAGCCACCGGACGTGAGACTTGATCTTGTACAGGGCAGTTTGGGTACGTCCACTCCAGGTTATTTGCTAAGATTTTTAGTTGATAGGCTAAAATTTTCTATACTAATGTTAAAAAGCAGCTATTAAATGGTGGTTAAAATTAAAGACATGCCAAACAATACAAAAGCCCAAAATTGGTTACAACAGATTGAATTAATTATATAAGAGCCAAAACTTTGACACCAGATACAATTGTGTTTCACAGTTGAAAGCGAATAAGTACAACAGTTTTATATTACAAAATGATTTACAAAGAATTAATAACTCCTGATACAACAATATTTTTAAAGATATAAAGCCTAAATCTCTCGGTTTAAGATCACAAAAGAATCTAATGAAGGAATAAACAATTTGATTCTGAATAAATTAATAAATAATATGATTGTGCTGAATAAACAAGCAGATTGAGTCTTAAGATAAGTGATAAAACATTGCTCCTATAATATAATAAAGGAAGTATTAGGGATTTAATAGGGAGCTCTATTTTCTTTAGAGTGAAAAAGCTAAGGTGGAAAAAAAAGTATACCTTTTATATGTTGTTTTATTGCATAGTTGATAGTTTTGTGTCCCCTAGTGTGTTGAAAATGATTGTATTTATTAGAATGAATGTATAGTATTGGAGGTCCGAAGTCGTTGAATGTAATGTACTATATGCTGCCTTTGGCTCTGCAAGGGGGAAAAAATAACGATTGTATTATATATAATCATGTTTTCTTTTATAATTGTTAAAAAATAAATAAAACCATGTTGTGCTTTCTTTTTGAGGCCTGCAGGGTAATTGATTGATCAGAAAAGACCTACCTTTAAAAAAAGACTATAGTAAATATAGTTTATTGTAAAATAACAGTTGCAATGTATTTTATGGCTTTTATTATGTATAAATTTAACAGCAAAATATAGTTAATAAAAAATAATGTTCGGACAGAAAACATTCAATCACATTAAGAGAAAAATAATGAAATATTGAACAGATGATTGCTAAAATTATGTAGATTAAGTGAATACAAAACAATAAAAAAAGAATATTAAAAAAGGAATTAAAATTTTATAAATAAATATACTAAAATGTAAAGATCATAAAGCAGAAATATACTTAAGTATTACAATGTGTCGAATATAATAACACAAACAATAACAATAATATATATATATTTGTATAAACACGAGAATACTAAACAAGAATTATTTAATGTACATATTTATCAATTGTCTGCATATTACTATATAAAGTGAAATGAGCCAATTAATCTTCGTAGTTGCAAGGAAGAGTTGACTTATCCAGGTCATCAAAATAAGGGTGGTTGACAGCTTCTTTGGCCGTGATCCTTGCACTCGGGTCATATAGAAGCATTTCGCCCAACAAATCCAAGCCTTCGATGCTTATGTTCTTCACTTGGGAAGATAAATTGTAATTTGACCATGATGGGAATGTCTGGTTGAAATCTGGAAGCTTACTCACACCAGGCCACGTTTCTTCCGTTGGTGTTCTAAGAACACGGAATATCCTGAACAGCTGATCTATCTCAGAGTCACCATGGAACAGGGGCTTCTTAGTCGCCATCTCAGCAAATATACACGCAATAGACCAAATGTCAACTGGGCAAGAGTACCTAGTCGCACCCAAAAGTACCTCAGGTGCCCTGTACCAGAGGGTGACCACCTCATGTGTGTAAACTCTGACAGGTATTCCGATGGCCCTTCCAAGACCAAAATCTGCAATTTTAATGACATTTTTATTTGCCAGAAGTAGGTTTTGTGGTTTCAGGTCTCTGTGGAGGACTCTTCTTTTGTGACAGAAAAGGATTGCCTGAAGGATTTGATATAAGAACGATTTGACCTGACTTTCAGGCATTAAATTTTCTAATGAGTCTAGGTACTTTTTGAGATCCATCGTAAGGAATTCGAATATAAGGTAAAGCCTGTTCTCTTCCATTAACACCTCTTGAAGGCCGACGATGTTTGGGTGGACAAGCTCTTTCAACAAAGATATCTCCCTCACTGCTGTCGAGGGAACTCCTTCTTCTTCACCTTCATTCCTGATTTTTTTAATGGCCACAAAATTACCAGTCTTTTTGTGTTTACCTGCAACAAAAACCAAAATGTATTTTATGAGATCATTTTTAAGTAAGAAACACTATCTAGTGTTTAATTTTCACCACTAATATCACCTTATACCATGTTATAAATATGTTTAATGATTATAGATATCTTAATTGGTATTGAAAAAAATCTATATATTTATTGGGCTTAGACTGTCCTCAGTGCAAACAAAAAAATTGCATGTATATAAATTTCAGGATTGTTTCAATTGGGTTTGCATAGGTGATAACACCTGGGGAATTAAAAACACTTATTTGGAAGTACATACATTGGGCTTAAATTCAGGCCCACTGAGATTTGAAGTCAGGATCTTACCAGGAATGAGTCACTTTATTGATGCCTTAACCCCTTTTTTTGTTATTTAGTTTAAACTAAATTAAACTTGATCTCTCTTCTGAGTCTGTATTTTCACCAGTCTACTGAGTTGGTGCTCAGTTTGGTTAACTCTTTTCCTCTTTGAAGATGGAGTGAAGAACAACACTTTTTAGTGATATTTAAACCTGCAAGTCAGACCCAGTAAAGTGATATGTTGATTGATTTAACATGTGTTCACTGACCTGCAAACCAACAACCCCACCAATTTTATTATGGAAATGTTTACTCAAATTTAAATCAGAGCAATGTCACTTCAAAGAAATTATATTAAGTAAATCTCTATTGCCTATGGAAGTACCATTTTTATTTATTGGCTAACTCTATTTGTTTTAATACTATTAAACTGCCTTTATTATTGAGTAATTGAGCTTTTATTTGTTATAATTTATATTGAGATTAAGCAATTCCATCTTTTGTTATTTACTTTTAGTTTAATTCATTTTGACTTGAACTGGATGCTGCTTAGAGGAAAAGGATTATGAGCAAACAATTTTATGGTCATCCAGAAGCTAAATAGTTTGGACCTCTGGAACCACATTCAAACTTTATTTTATATACAGGGTATATACAATATACTGTAACATTTACATTATCCTTAATACATCAAACATAACAACCTACACTTATGCTGAACCAGCAATGGACTGTTGTTTCTTGGAGCCATGAGTCCTAGACACTTTCCATAAAAATAATTAATCAAAAATAAAAATATTGTTCTTGTCTAGTCTTAATTTATGATTTTTTAAAAATTATTTATTACTATTTAAATGGTTTTAATTTTTTCCCATATTTTTCTCTTTTAATAATATTAATTAAAAAAAAAAAAAAAAAAAATGCAATTGAGTGAGTAGAAATACTTTGATTGAATATTAAAAATATTTTTTTGCATTGTATAAATTCACTCTTTTCCTCATCTTACATGTATTTGTTAAATTTAAACAATGTTTGTAAATACCAGGCCCTGAAGATGATCTCAATAAAGATCGAAATGTTGGCACGATAAAAAAAAAGTTTTTCTAAAACCTACGCCACACCAGACTGCATCTCATGATCTCCGAATAATCATCTACTAAAGGTCACTAATCACCACATAGGCTATTATTTAATTTTAAAAAATAAATAAAAATGTATAGAGAGCCTGTACAGATATTAACATACTAGAAATATGACCATAGTACATTTTTCTTTTCATGCTGTCACAATACTAATGCCAGAGCACCCGGAGGACACATGTCATGAGAAACCAGTTTTTGGACTCAGTGTGAAGGATTAAGGGGCAAAGAGGTCTTGAGGCATCGTCAATCAAGGCAATGTGGCGAGTTCTAGGGATGGGAATGTATAGAGATGGCTCGAGCAATAGGGTTAAGATGGATCAAGTGGTTGGCTTGAAAATTTTTGAACTAACGGATCAGTTCATAGACAAAAGAATGTTGAGGTCGTTGTGGATAGTTAGGATATAGTAAAGAGTATTGACAATTTGTCTGAGGACTTTCGTTTGGAAGGACTGGATGTGCTGCATGGCTTAGCAGAATATCCAAACTAGTCACAGTAAAGTTTTATTAGTTAGTTTAGTGTTAATGGTCAAAATGGATTTAGGTCCTAGAAATTTTCATAGTTGTTGCCTTTTAAATCTTGTGCGGGGAATCGTCATCGGTCTGCTGTCTATCTGTAGTCCTAGGTATTTGAATTGAGTAGAAATCGGTATCTTTTTGTGGTTGATGTACAATGGAGGGCACGACTGTTTTTTTCATGTGAAAATACACTAAGTACATTTTTCTTCATTCGGTCAGTCTTATCCTCCAGTTTTTGCACCAGTCTTCGATAAGCTCAGTTTTCTTGGATACTGGAGGATAGGAAAAAATTACAGTATCTTCTGTATTTGAGGTGTTGATTGTATTGTGGTAGGTCAGCAGTATATAGACAATATATAGAATGGAACCAACAATGCTCCCTTGTGGGACGCTGACTTTTTTCAGTCTATTTCCAAATAAGATAATAAGGACTAGGTAGGAAGAGTTTAAGTTTATAAAGCATGCCCGGGTGCAGACACTATAGCTTGTGCTACATCTAGGAACACATCCAAGCAACTCTTCCTCAAGAGAAGAGATGTGTCGACAATTCTGAAACCTTGTTGGATCATAGAATGAACTGGTCGGGGGCCAAATTGGTAAGAGGAAATTATATTATAGGTATCTAAATTAATTGCTTTAAAAGGGGCTTTCGAGGATTTTGGGCAGTGCAAAAGGCTGTTGTGCCCGTAGGAGGATATGTTGGGTGGTTTGTGAGCTTTAGGAATGAGAATGACGGAAAATTTCCATAATATAGAATAATAAGTGGTTCGAAGGATGGCATTATTGTGGTTGTGTTGTAGGTTTATTTTTTTTTTGCCTTGTACTCGTGTACATCTAACCAAGTTTGTTACCTGGTGCTGACAGCTGGAGGGCGACCCCGAGACCAGCTAGGTAGGACATCTGGGTTCTCTGTTTAAACATGGGTCGTACTACCCTATTTTCTTACAGTGGATTGCTCCTGATGGTGGTGGATAAAAGCGTTACATGATACGGTGTACCCTTGGAAAAGTCCAACCCCATTCCACAGTCTGGGGCATAACATGGAAGTCCCCCGACCGACTGTCCCCGCAGAGCCCCACCTCCGGCCGGCCCCAACCACAAGTATATTTAGTTACTTAAATATCTATGTATTTGTAGATGGAGTTGGCTAATATTAGATTTACCAAGCTAGGTAGAGGGATTTTATAAAATTTAACTATTAAAAAATAAGAAAAAATCGAATAACCACAACCTAATAATTAGTGTGAAACAATTTTTTTCATCTAAATTTAGTGCAATTATTGCAGTGTGCTGTTGTTGGACAAAATTTTTGTTCTCAGCCAGCAGTAAATTGCATGTAATTTAGCATGAAAGTTTTCCCAACTACACCTCATTAATCTAAATGGAAGTTAAGGGAAAAAAACAATAGCTATTCTACCTTTGAAGACGACTCCGTAGGTGCCTTCGCCGATTTTTTCTATCTTAATATACTTGTCCATTTCTTATTTTCTCTTTCCCAGCGAAAAGGGGTTAATCTGGAGTTGCTGATGGACCGGAATTTACAGACAACACACAACACGGTACGAGGCCGGACCGACGTTAACGGCTATTATGAATTCCAGCGGTCGCCGTTTTCGAGCCGTTTACATGAATACTAGAGCCATGTGGCGACGGGCTCCGTGCCATCCAACGGGCGGATTCAAATCAAAAAGTCAAATCACGAAGACTTTACGACTCGTCTGGGCGAAACCAAGCGGACCCAACATTAAGGGTCCAATTGCAAATGACATCTAATTATGAAAAAAACAAATAACAAAATACAAGAAAATGAGAGAAGACGAGTAAATATTTAGAAAGCGGTGGAATGCACGAAAAGGCGGGAGATAACAAGAAGCCGGGAGTTTATTTGATAAACAATTATTTATTTATTACGAGATGTATACAGAAAAAGAACGTTTTTATTTTGGTGAATTTTATTGAAGAATAAATATGAACGACCAGAAAAGGAATGTCAAAATCGAAGGTCTGTTGCTTTTTATCCCATGAAAACGTACTATGCTGGTTAGAAACGACAATTTAGCACTTTTAATTATTCAAGCTGGAATGTAATATAACTTCCGAAATCAATATTAGAATCGTTCTTGAGCACAACAGCAACGTTTTTTGGCCCCTTGTTCTGTTATTGACAAAAAAATAGATATGTTCAATCGTATACAGGGTTTAAACATAACAAATTAAAAAAAATCATAAGGGTGTTCAGTCGCTTTGGGTTATCGACTACAGAAAATTGGGATGCTGAAAAACAGGAGGTACAGAGGCTGTGGCACACTGGGCAGCAGCTGATCAGATACCTGACAGCAGCATGTGACCCAGGACACCCATTTATCTTTATCTTTCATCTTTAACTCACCTTCATGTTAAACAGAAAATGAACTTAGTAAATGGAATTAAAGCATACAGTCAATATTAGTGCTTTTCATCGATCTTTCAGCACCCATGGTTTTGGAGCCAGAAAACAGGAGGTGCAGAGGCTGAGGTACACCTTGGGCAGCAACTGATCAGGTACCTGACCACTGTGTGTCCCAGAACGCCCATTTATCTTTAAAGCCTAGTATGCACTGAGATTCTTTGAATCGATTCATGTTGGGGGGCAGAGTCGGGGCTGCACAGATTCATTGTTGCGATGCAGCCCCGACTCTGCTCCACAACAAAGAACCGTGTCCAGACCAAGATTCAGTTCACATTCATCAGTCCCGGCGAAAATGAAGGAGGAACTAGCTCTCTCAGGAATTTCCCTTGCTCTTTTTTGCATTGTACGTAGTGAATCCAATTGGACGTGCATTAAAAAATGACCAAAAAGATGGTGGGTGCGACAAATATTTCACAGTGGGAATCAGCTCGTGAAAAATCTTTTGGCCACGTTGAGATTAAATGATGGCGCAGGGTTCAGAAATTTTTTGAGGATGTCCCCGACCAATTTTGAAATTTTAATGAATGTTGGCGGTCAAATTTCCAAGAAAGATACCAACTTTCAGGACTCTATCTCTCCGGCCAACAGATTATCTGCCACTTTCCGGTTCCTAGCGAGTGGAGACTCGTGAACAAGCCTCATGTACACCTTCAGGATTTTAAAACAAACGGAACAGTCCTTTTAAAGTGTGTATTTTTTTTTCAATTTCGGCGACGGAAACACTGAATTTTTGGGCTAAACCGTTCAATGTTTGGCTTTTCAATTCCCGATTTCTGTATCCCATGAATGATACATCCCACAAACACCGATGGGAATGCATGTCTTCGATAAACTGTAATGTCAACTCGGTATTCCACAATATACCTTTTACAAGACATTGTCAAAACCTTCAAGAAAACACTCACTAGAACGTCAACTAAACAAATGAAGCAAGAGCGCTTGTTCCGACTGGCATATGTTGCACAACATTGAGTCAAAGAATCCCACATTGGATGGGATTCAAAAGAGTCCGAAAATGTTAGCCCGCAACACACCAGATTCATAGTAGCAATGAGTCGGGGCAGCCCGGACTCAGGCTAGACGCAGCCGAGACTCTCCGGAGATTCAAAGAGTCGACTCAAAGAATCCCAGTGCATACTAGGCCTAATCTTCATCTTTAACACATTTTCAAATAAGACAGACAAAAAATGTAGTGATTTGTTTGAAATTTATTTCTAGCCAATACAGATTTGTATATATTACACGGAGGACACATGCTATGAGAAGCCAGCCAATGATGGCACTCAGTGTCAGGGATTAAGGGTTAAGGAGGCTCCGAGGCCATCATCGATTAAGGCTTGATGGGTTCTCGGGATGGGAATGGGTAGAGATGGCTCGAGCAGTAGGGTTAGGATCGATCGAATGGTTGATGTGAAACTTTTAAAATCAGGAACGTATCAGTTTATTGACAAAAAGAGTGGTGAGGTTGTTGTGGATAGTGAGGTTAGTGATGAAGTAAGGAGCTTTTACGATTTGTCTAAGGACTTTTGATTGAAAGGATTAGATGCGTTGGATGTTACATTTTTTTGCCTTGCTGCCCCACTACACCGAATCCTTTAAGGAGTCATAGTATCCTTTTAGAGAGGGCAACTGGCCATATTAATATGCGATGGCTTGGTGTCACACTGTTCAGATCTGATGTGAATCTGTGTCGGATCCTCCACAATATCACTACCTTGGCACTGGGACCACCCCACAGTGTTCCATGAAACTGGGCATTCATAACATCTGAAGAGGAGGAGTGGGCAGCACCAGAAAGACTACTTTTTTTATAAAAGTGTGCTGGTGGTGGTCTGGATTCTTAGCAGTGAAAAAATGGCTATGGCTCAACCTCCAGACCTAATCACCATGATCCAACCCTCTAGTCTAAAAAAGCAATTAAAAGCACGATTAAAAGGAAATAGAAGTATCAGTGGCTGGATCATCAGTGAATCTCTCATATACCAAGAGCTCTGACGATAGGAGGTGGTCAACATAAATGGAAGAAGAGGCTCAGCTTATTATTTTGGAGACTTTCTGAGTGGAACTGAATTGTATTTGTATTCTTTTAAGTGTTTTTATGACTTTTAGATCATATTATCAACATCCAGTTGCCATCTCTTATCAGGAACAGTCTTCCTATTTAAGTCCTTTTACAATAATTTGCTCTACATCTGTCATTCATTGCTTGTTTGACCTTCCACTCTTTGGCCTTTTTTTAATAAACAGTTATAAGTAGTGCTTTTGTACATAGATACTGTTTTATATAATTTTCAGGTAGTTTGAAAGGATATTTAAAGTATCATTTTAAGAATTTTGAAAGCTATGACAAGTTAAGTTGTTAATTTAAATTTTGTGAATAATATTAATCTGTTGTTTTTTAAAATCTACGTAGATTACTTCATCAATTACTGTCTTGTTCAACATAAGGATGATGTGTTGAATATTTTAAGGGATCTGGATGAAGAAAAGCACTATTCAGTTTTTGTCAAGTAAAATATAATTATTAAAACAATTTGTACTGTAATAAACATTAATTAAATTATTTCAGTTTTGTTACCCTTTTTGAAAAGAACCCGGAGCTAGGCGATGGAATTTTATCAGATCCTACGAATGTTCTACCTCTCTGCGATAGCGCACTGGTCAAATTGCAGGATTTTATCAAAATGGAAAGTGGGGAAGGTGGATTGTCGACAAAACAACATATACATGTACGGATCACAGGTCTGAGAGCAAAAAAAAAAAACTGTCGGTTTTTATTTTATTTAAATTTTGTAATTTAGCTTTGCCTGTCTGCCCGGAGTTGTATAAATCAATGTTTCCCAGCAGCAACGATGTGGGATCCTTTTTGAGGATTTCAGGGACTGTTATTAGAAGGACAATGCCTAAGATGTTGGAGTACAAAAAAAATTACATATGTGCCAAATGTAAACATCAATTCACAGTTTGGGTATTTTTCTCTATTATATTACACCACATGCATTTTTATGATTAATAAATGTTTAACTTAGGCGGATTATGAGAAGCAATATATTTTACAAAACCCAATAGTTTGTCCAAATCGTCCTACGGGCTGCAAGAGCACTAACTTGAAAAATATTTTAGATTCTGACTGCTACAAGGACTATCAGGAAATAAAACTCCAGGTAATGTATTACAATAAGTCTCTTATCTTTGTAAGACATAATTTCAGGCTTATTATTATTTAAGAAATTCTCAGGATAAAAAAAAAGTAGCTTGGTTATTTCCAAACATTTTGCTTAACTGTACATAGTTGATAACGCAGTCATAAAAGGATAAGTTTATGATCGCACTTTGATCTTCCCATAAGCCAGTGGCTAAGTTTTTTTCTTGCAGGAACAAGTTGGAAAATTAGACATGAGTTCAATTCCAAAGTCGATGTGGGTAACAGTTGAAGATAATCTTGTCGATTCCTGCAAACCTGGAGATGATGTTACCATTAGGTAATTTATTAGTTAATAACTTATTTAATATAACTCTCCATTAGATGCACCTGAGACAACATTCATTGGTTGGAAACTTTTATTACCGCTCAACCAGTGCGGCATCAGACCCCATCTCTTCAAATACCTGTACTGTCTTAAAAAAGTGCATTGACCCCACCATGTTTCTGACCTGACATTGTTCATTTATGTTCTCTTCACTCATTGCGTCCAATTTCTTCATATTATTTAAGGCATTTTCTTTTTTATTCCATCACATTTATTTATCTAGCTCATTTTGTGATATATGAGTTAAGACGTAGGGGAAGAAAGTTACATTGATTCTGAAGATGAAATTTAAAAATATTTTCTTAATTCCGAAACTGAGCAACCTAGATAAGAGACAGATGAAGAAACATAGGAAAACTTTAATATAGGGAAAAATGGAAACACTAAGTTGGACCAGCAAGCCACCCAAAGAAAGTTGACATTGGCAGTCTCACGACACTCGCCACTGTTCCAGGAGTGAAAGAAAATAGAAAGAATGCTAAAACTGTTTAAATATTGGAATGGTTCACTTATATTCTGGAATTGGTTGTGAAATACACGAACCTGTACATTGACTCCATCAAAGTTCGATTTGCTAGAGAGAGAGAAAGGCATCAGACTCCATGATGTAATTGAAATAAAGACTTTCATCGGCTTGTAGTATCTAGTAGTAGCATATAGAGTGAATCACCACAGTCTGGAAGAACTTTGAGTGAGAGATTGTAACTGTTTCGAAAAATTCAGCCTTGTTATGAAAGCCTAGCTCCAGTTTGAGAAGTTTCCGACAAATTTGTAGAATTGCTTAGAATTGCAAGGGCGATTTTTGGCAATATACTTCCTCAAAATCAAACAAATACAGCATAAAACTTTTTGCCAGTGTAGGCATCCAGATGATCTTTGCAGTTTGTAACAACAGCCAACAGGCCCTTTCTGCACGAGTCAAGTGAAGCTTCAATATATTGGAACTGTGAAAAAAAGGTGCTAATGGGCATTGCAGATGTCAAAGAGAGGAAAGCAAACACCAGTATGTTTGCTTCAGTGATGCCAAATTTTTGGTTTCCTACATCCCACATGAAAGACTCCATGATGACATCGTCTGGAAAGCAATTGAACCTTGGATGATTTGACCAAGAGTAGTGTTACACCACAGATCAAATGTGCTTCTACTTACAGCATGAGCTGAAACACTAAGTGGTGGACAGTGGTGATATTATTTGCAGTGTTAAATACTGGTGGGATCAATTCTCAATTGGTTTATCTTGGAACTGGAATCAACACAAAAAAATACTATTTTTGAAACAGTTGTCACATAAACTGATGATCGAACACTGCAGAAGCACCACTGGAAGCAGAAATACCACTGGAATACCCCTTGTCTACAAGTTTGGATGAAAAGATTCCTCCCTGAGGTTGATCGAAAACACTCACCATCCAATCTTCCAAAAAGATGTGTCACATGTACCGTGAAGTAGGTCTTAATGTTTAAAATATCACCAAGCATGTATGAGCCAAATATTTCATTCATATTTGTGTATAGTTCATCCTGCAGGCTTTTAGTTTTCTGCATTGTAAGAGATGCTTAATGTTATCTTTCTATACATAATGGGCGTTAAGCATAATAAGATCTCCTAAACTTGCATCCCATTTGAATTAGTTTAGTGGCCGTGGTCTGCCGGTATGGGGTCTCCCTTAAGTACGTCGGGGAGGTGCAAAAAAAAAAAAAAAAGCATAATGGGCATGGATGCAGACTCTTTCCTGCCAGCTAGTGCTCATATGGTTCTGGTAGGTTTAATGTTTAAAGTTATTTAAGTCTTAAATGTGTAGTTTTTAGTGATCATTAATTAATGATTATTTATAAATTGTGAGAGACCAGACCGTATCTCTAAATAATCATTAAGTTTTAAAGTTATGCTTGTTTCAAAATTGATTAATTGTTTTATTACTTAAAATACATTACTTATTTTCTATGTAATTAAATGTTTTTTTTGCATGAAATTTTGTTTAAGTGATTAATTTTGGGGAGTTGAAATTAATATAGCCAGCTAGTTCGGCCATTTTCAAATCAATGCCTGCCAGGCACATTGCACCAAACTGAGGTGGTCCAGGGATGCACCCATTGGAGGGTCCCTTTGTTGAAAATAGTTGAACTTGTAATAGTTTCCATACTTATTCTTCTACTGTTATATAAAAAAAGTTCCAATTGTAAATTGTCTTTAATTAATTTTACTTTATTAAGTGGCACAGTACGGAGGAGATGGAAGCCGATGATCAACAATAATAGAGTGGAAGTTGATATCGTCCTCCAGGCAAACCATTTGGAGGTGTGCAACGATCGTAGAAATACCTCGTACCTCACGAAAGAGGTGAAAGACGAGTTTATAAGTTTTTGGGACAAGTATAGAGACTCGCCGTTGACTGCCAGGAATGAAATTCTGCAATCTATATGCCCTGAGGTATCTAAATAATAGATTCAAAACAATGCCGACCAACAAATCATGTGTTATTGAATTAATTACAAATAATTAGTTTTGAGAAAGTTTTTACCAAAACAAAATTTCATGATTAAATTGGATTTTAGAAAAATGTAGATAAAATGACAAGATACCCATGATTAATATGAAAATAGTAAACAAACTTAAATTTCTTCTTGTGATGTGGGATATTTAACAAATTTAATTTGTTATGGTTATAATTATTAAAGTAGCATTACATTTTTGTTAAATAGTTACATCATTCTATAAAATATTTGTTTAACTTTAAATAAACAGTATTGACAGCAAATAAATGATAAAAGATCCCATAATGATTAAAATTCAACAAAATATCATGCTTAAGATAGGTCACTAGTTAATAATTTTGAGTCAAGTATGTTAGACAGTTTATTAATTTATTTTATAGTTATGTAAGTTTAAAACGTTAAAATTTTCTATTGTTTTAGGTGTATGGCCTTTATGTAATAAAACTAGCAATGGCACTAGTCCTTGCGGGCGGGGTACCACAAAATCCAAGCTCCGGGGCCAGGGTGCGAGGTGAGTCGCATCTTCTGCTAGTAGGGGATCCAGGGACTGCCAAGTCCCAACTATTGCAGTTTGCCTCCACAGTCTCATCCAGGTCTGTGTTTACTACAGGCATCGGCTCAACTTCAGCGGGCCTGACTGTCTCTGCAGTCATGGTAAATTATTTGATAAAACCTTTAAGGTTTGCATGGCTCTGTTTATTTAAATTTTTTTTCAGGCAACAGGAGGGGAGTGGCAATTGGAAGCTGGAGCTCTAGTACTTGCCGATGGTGGCGTCTGCTGCATCGACGAATTCAGTTCAATCAAAGAAAGTGAAAGAGCTAGCATCCATGAAGCCATGGAACAACAGACGATTAGTATTGCAAAAGTTAGAAAGTGATTTTCTTTACTATCACTTTTTCTTTCTGATGAGTGACTATATACACAGATAAAGAATATTTTTAGCATGATCTCTGATTATTCTGGTTTGTCTGTATTGTTGGTCAGAAAAAGATGGACAAAATACAGACAAAACAAGTTGACAAAACCGGTGGGAATTTACTGACCAGGATGATCAGAGATGATCAAGCTACGGTTGTGGTTAAATGTATGTGATTCAGTATAGTTTCTTTTAATTATTATTAAATGATGTCATTTAATAGTTTAGAGTGTGTAAATATTTTTAAGGCACTTGTCGTTTATTTTAATTGTTAATCAATTCCATTAGCTAAGATCCTGGGCTACCAATAGTGGAGACATATCCCCTAATGCCCCGTGCTCTCGGACTGTTTATGTTTATATAACTGTGTACGTATAACTGTAAATATGTATGTTTATATAACTGTAAACATACACACATACATTACATACAACATTTACTCTCTTAAGCTGGGTTTACATTGAGTGAAAATCCCTCGTCAAACTTTTTCACATTGTGGGAACCTAGCCAGATCTGAAACTTGACCTGAGGATGTTTTAGGGTGAGCTGACCTGCTGTAGGTTTTTTAGTGCGTGTCATAGTGCTTCATGTTGTCTCTTTCTCTCCTTGTAAATGCGACTGCATTTGACATATCCAACTGTATAAGAGCTATCAATTTTTGTGGGATGTTAAAAATAAAAGTCATCATAATATGAACAAGATAGAGGATGCATGGAAGGAAATGTGATGTTTTCTTCATTTGTGTTTCTTTTTATTCTCAACATAAATTATTGCCATGATATTGAACGCTGATGCTGCAGTAGGTGTAGGTATGAAAGGCTTTCTAGTCTCACGCAAACTGTTGGCTCACCTTGTTTTCCTCTTTGTGACAAAATGTTTTGCCTCGTGGAAATGGTTAACCCAAGACAACCATTTCATGAGTGATTCTTGTGTTCAGTGATTTTCGTGCAATGGATCTGAACTGGGGACGCAAAAACACATATGCCCGAGGACTGCCTTTATACGGGATTTTATGCCTATTTCCCTGTAAGAGGACATGGCCTGGCACTCCTTGACCAAGTATGACCCATTGAGCCATCGAGCACCCTTTCTCTACTATCAGAACACTTATGCAGGGTTTGCCCCAAAAGCAGGTGTCTGTGTGTCAGTCGGGTATGGCCTGTCTCAAGAAATCCCTTCCTTGCATTTCAAAACATCGGTGGGCCATCGCTCAGTCATGCTCTTGATCTCGGATGATCTGGCCTATTGACACTGCCAAAATTCTTTATTGTGTTCTTTACTGTTCCTACAGCATCACTGGGCCGGACCGCAGTGCTTTAATCTGGAAGGTGAGACTTTTTTATCTTTCATTGCACATTGATTTCCCTCCAGTCCGTCAGGTCCAAGTACCCAGATGACTTACTACAGTTTTACCGAGGTGCTCCAACTCAGCATATCTATCTAATAAGAGCACAATGTGAGGGTCCGTTGTATGCAACTGGTCGAAGTGCACAGGTCGTAAAGAGGCCGAGGTCTATTTTGTGTTTATGAAAAATCACCTATAAACAGCATAGCAAGTAATAATGTATTCTCTTTTTGGAATTTAAATTTGCCCCTTCCTTATATTGTTTTATGTCAAACACCAGCAAAGCTGTTGTTTCATTGGTTTAATATTAGGAATTTGTTAAAAGGCTGGCATCGTTTGTAAGCTGGATACAAGATGTACTGTTTTAGCTGCTACCAACCCAAAAGGGCAGTACGATCCCCTTCATCCGATAACAATCAACTGTGCTATCGCCAGTCCGTTGTTGAGCCGTTTTGACCTTGTGTTTGTTCTCTTAGACAGCAAGAATCACACTTGGGACCAGTGAGTAGTTTGTCCTCTTTGGTATAGTCAAATTAACTAACACTGATGTTTCAGCATGATATCCACATACATACTCGAAGGAAAAACTTTAAACAAGTGTAAACCGGGGAACCAATGGACTATTGAAAAATTAAAAGCTTACTACTGCATCGTAAAAAGTATCACACCCCAATTAAGCCAAAACGCGGTGACCGTTTTACAAGAATACTATAAACTACAAAGAAAGAGTGAGGCGTTAAATGCATCGCGTACAACTGTTCGGCTCTTAGAGAGTTTAATAAGGTAAACTTTATAATTCATTTGTCGTTTATTCATTTCAAACTCACATTTTTTTAGGCTCTCCCAAGCACATGCGAGGTTTATGTTTAGAAATGAAGTTTTAGTGCAGGACGCAGTTGTCAGCGTTTCCTTGATGGAGGCTAGCTCTCAGGGTTCATCAAAACTTCAAGGATTTAATGTGCTTCAGACAAGTTTCCCTCAGGATCCACAGGAAGAATATTTGGAGCAAGGTTTCTATTAAATTATTATTTTCATGACGATAAATCAAATTAACAAAAAACTCTGAGTATTTAGAAATTTTCTTTATATAATTGTAGTTTGTTTACACTGAATATAATGTAAAAAATGTAAATAATTTAAAACCTTATATATTTTTTTTAACACACTTCAAAATAACAATGGTCACGTCAACATGCCATCAATAATTGGACCAGGAAAAAAGGTTTGTCAGGCAACATATCAGTTAATGTGTTAAATTAAAGATTAAATGTGTAGAGATATCTCACGATATCTGAATAACAATTAAAGATTAAAAATTATGTTTTTGGTCAATGTCAGCAGAGGGGAAAAATGGGATGATCAGGTTGGTTGGCTACAGATTTGGACAAACCTTTTTTTGGTGATTCCACACTCCGAAATATTAGACACATATACACCACTCCTTGTGAATAGACCCTGGTTTTGCCAAAACAATTTTTTAAAAGTTGAAATTTACTTTTTTTAATATTTTCATTTTGCCGTTCTAATTGCTCTAATCAACTATGTGATATACCATTTATCATCAAATGAGCATAAATTGTTACTTGAGGATTAAAAAAAAGAAGTTATTTTAGGTATAATAATTTCATTGTGGGTTAATGTAAAAACAAAAATGTTCTACGATTATATATAAGTGAGGGTATTTTAATTTTTAAAAAAGTTTAAAATAATTATTTAATTGTTTTTATTTTATAACCATAAATCTCCATTATTTTTCAGACAACTGAACACTAATACAATAATTTAAAAAATTGCAGAATTTGCTCAAAAACTACAATGTTTACAAGTCCGGGAGAACCAGGCCTTTGCGTAGGCCCTTGTTTTATTAATTACCACCTTACCACCAAAGTATTGGTTTTGATATTTTGTAGTAATTATTATTATTATTTTCACTGATTTTGTGGTCCGCTTGACCAATTAATATATTACAATTAATTAAGGTTTTTAGTTGAGATAAAAAAGTCAATGGCACGAGTGGGATTTGAACCCACGATCTTCGGCTAGATACTGCCGCTGCTCTACCACTTGAGCTATCGTGACCTCGATCCACTCGGACACTAACTTCCCATCTCAACCCCACCTTTTGAATTTTCCCTCCTTTTTGCCATTTTTCAAATGTCGTATAATCGGATTGGATTCTCGACGACAAATGAAATGGCCATTTAGTGAAGTATACTTCATTTTAAATCATTAAATTCATTAACTTCGTGGTCTGCTTGACCAATTAATATATTACAATTAATTAAGGTTTTTAGTTGAGATAAAAAGGAGGGAAAATTCAAAAGGTGGGGTTGAGATGGGAAGTTAATATCCAAGTGGATCGAGGTCACGATAGCTCAAGTGGTAGAGCAGTGGCGATCTAGCCGAAGATCGTGAGTTCAAATCCCCGCTCGTGCTATTGACTTTTTTATCTCAACTAAAAATCTTAATTAATTGTAATTATTATTATTAATCGTTCCACCTTACCAATCTGTCAGCCATGGTTTTTCTCCTATCCTCCATCAATTTCTTCACCTTTAAAAAAAGTAACTAAAAAAGAAATTACACCACTAAAAAGGATATTAAATGGAGTGGATATTAAATATATTAGGATATTAAATGGAAATTTAAGTTAGTCTTCAATGGTATCAACGGATTTGTATAAAACCTTTAAGTTGTGGAGTTATCATTGGTTATCTGAAGCAAAGTAGTGAAATCTTAAAAAATCAGAAAAAGTGAAATAACTCCGAAACTGCTGAGATTCGGACCATAGATAATTTAGACTTTTTGGTTTCATTTTGAATGTAGAATCTACTGGCAAAATTTGTAACACGAGTAGCCAAACACCCTGTATATAGATCAGTAAATATACTTTTAAATATTTTTATTCTAATAGTAAAAAAAAAAAGACATTTCGGTCTTCTGAATGCTATCAGTTTTATAATACAAATGTCAATTTTTTTAACTGGAATACTTTTCCCTGCATAAGCATTTGTCCGCTGTTGTCAGCCATTTTTGCAATTTGTTTTATAGAAGTTGTCATACATTTTCAAAATGTGCGGTGTTTAGTGACCGTTAGTTTATGATTATTTGTGTGGAGATCGTGGGATGTGGTCTGGTGTGACGTAGGTTTTAGAAACACATTTTCTTTATTGGATAACAAACACTTGGAGTCCTGAAGATGATCTCAATAAAGATTGAAATATTGGCACGATTAAGAAAATATTTTTCTAAAACCTACGTCACACTAGACCGCATTTCATGATATTAGCAATAATTATTTAAACTGTTAGATTATATATTCACATGGAAGATTAATTTTATTGTTTTGTTTTCAGCGAGACAGGTCCTGGGAAGTCTAGGTTTAGATGAAATTTTGCAGCAAGAATTGAATAGCACAAATAAGACTTTTCTTAAGCAAATCTCATCACAGCAGTTTAATAATTCTGTCAGTTCAGTGTCAGAGCACAATAGTAATATTAGTTCGAAAGATCTTTTTGCTTCTGAATTAGACAAAGAAGAGAAAAACAGCAAGAATTTTCATAAATTAATTTCACATAGTAATAATAAAGTTAAATTAAAAAGGCACGCACATAAAATACATAAAAACAAAGTTACCGATTGTTCCACTAACTCTTCTGGTGAATTACATTTTTCTGAAATGCCACCCTGTAAAGACAAACCCGAAAAGGCACGAAATGAACACTTGTCTCCAGCAAATCAAAATAGTGATGAGCATAATGTGAATCGATCACTAAGTTCTTCAGTTAAAACTAAAATCGCCCAAAAGCTTACTGAAAAAACGGCCAACAAATTAAAACAATTTCAACATAAATCGTCGAACGGCCGAGACAAGTCGAATAACCCGGGCCAATGCAGTGTTGTGGATAGATCGGTCATTACATGTCCTAGTACACCTACTGACACAATTCAGGTAAATAAAACAAAACATTTCATGTTTCAAGTTTCAGAAAGCAGTAGTGAAGAGGAAATTGATTTTTGACACTTTTAAATTTGTTTGCATGTAAATAGAGTAATTTATTGTTTGTAAATATCTGCAACGGGAAGAAATGTTTAGATATAAGTATGTATACTGTAATAAATTATCGATGTATATGTATTTTTTTTATATTAATGCACCTCTTGGTCACTTTGTTTAGTGTACAAAAAAAAAATGCTTTTCCTCCTTCAGATGATAACCTGTATGCATAAGCCAGCAGTAATAATAATTAATTCACTACTTTCGTGTCCGCTTGACCAATTAATACATTACAATTAATTAAGGTTTTTAGTTGAGATGAAAAAAAGTTAATGGCATGAGAGAGATTCGAACCCACGACCTTCGGCTAGATACGCCATTGCTCAACCACTTGAGCTATCGTGACCTCGATCCACTCGGACATCAACTCCCCATCTCAACCCCACCTTACGAGTTTTCCCTCCTTTGGCCATTTTTCAAATGTCGTGTTATCGGTTTGGATTCTTGACAATTGAAATGGCGACGGAGCTTTAGTGAAGTGTACTTCATTTTTAATTCATTAATTCACTACTTTCGTGGTCCGCTTGACCAATTAATTCATGACAATTAATTAAGGTTTTTAGTTGAGATGAAAAAAAGTTAATGGCACGAGAGGGTTTCGAACCCACGACCTTCGGCTAGATACGCCGCTGCTCTACCACCTGAGCTACCTCCCTCTCGTGCCATTAACTTTTTTTTTCATCTCAACTAAAAACCTTAATTAATTGTCATGTATTAATTGGTCTAGAGGACCACGAAAGTAGTGAATTAATGATTTAAAAATGAAGTACACTTCACTAAAGCTCTCCGTCGCCATTTCAATTGTCGTCGAGAATCCAAACCGATTACACGACATTTGAAAAATGGCAAAAGGAGGGAAAACTCATAAGGTGCGGTTGAGATGGGAAGTTGGTCTCCGAGTGGATCGAGGTCACGATAGCTCAGGTGGTAGAGCAGCGGCGTATCTAGCCGAAGGTCATGGGTTCGAATCCCTCTCGTGCCATTAAATTTTTTTCATCTCAACTAAAAACCTTAATTAATTGTCAAGTAATATAATAAAAAATGTTATGATGGAATTGAGTACATTGAAACTAATACATAATGGACACTCTTGGGAGAATGAAATATTGTCTGTTAATCAGATGTGTCTGCTTTTGGGATAATAATGAGAAAAAATGTTTAGTATTACAAAATGGGCCACGATGCGGGTAACAAGATATCGACATATTTGAGATCCTGAGGATTTTTTTCCTTTTCTATGAGCAGAGGGTTTTTCAAATTCACTGAGCATACTTGTGCATAAGAGCTAATACTCATTTGAAATTTTTCCTCTTTGACAACGCTCATTTATTAAATTCGTAGTTTCACCCGGAAATTCTCTAAAAAAAAAAAAAAAAATAATAAGGCCGACTCATTGTAGTTAAAAATGCTTTTGGGTTCAAAATTGGTCTAATATGGTTTAAATTTTCCATCAATTTTTGTACCACCTTGGTCCATCTCTCTATTTTAAAAATGGTCTTAAAAAAATCTTTTAGGCCTGTTTAGGGATTAGTACGCTAAGGGATTGTGGTCTGCATTTCAACGGACACCTTTACGTCAATTACTTGGGTGTCAAGAATCAATATTATTTTAATTTAAGTGTTAATTAGACCGCAGAACACGTGATGTTTTTGTGAAGGTCTTTGTAGGTGCAGATCCTTTAACTGGGAGAGGAAAAGCCGCAAGCAAGATCTAAGGAACTGCTGGCATGGCTATGGAGGTTGATTAACCTGAAGCTGGCCGGTAAATTATAAGAAAAATAGAGGAGCACAATATATCTACTAAGGTCGTGGTGCAGAAGGCCTAGTGGCAATGTCTTTTATCCCTATATTACAGGGACGTTGGTGACCGCAATGGTTTTGGCGTTGACCCGATGCTTATCATTGCTTAAATTGTAATGGTCCAAGGTTCGATTCCAGCGGTCCTTCATTCGAACCTGACAAACCTATAAATGGGCTTTTTTGAAACACACTGGCACCCCGAGGGTTCAGTTCCCCTTGTTGTTGAAATACCCTCTTCAAAAAATTCTTATGCGTGTTCTAAATTTGTCAAACCAACCAGAACATGCTTTAAAATCCACTTCTCCTAAATGTTGTGCATCTTCTAAAGCCTTTTCTCGGATAAGTGGTCCTTACAAGCCTGAGCACAGCAAAATCATTTAAATACATAATGGTCTATGGACGAAGCGGACATTTTAGTAGAAAAATTTGCAGGATTGGTCAATTCCATGTTGTAAAATTTGTTTAAAAGTTCCATTATTCTTTAGATTTTCACTTGCCTGGGTCTTTCTGAGTGAAAACTTCGCAGCCTAGTCTTGCACACTTAGTTTTTCACTTTCACTCACTTTAATCGTATTAAATTTTTTAAGTGTCTAACGCACTGAAGAAATAAATATGTTTGCAAAGCGGCATAATCAAAATCCAGGATTTTGGGAAAATTCTGAAAGGTTAAAAAAAAGAGGAAATGGCATTTCTCAAAAAACTTTATTTTTTTGGAGGCTCCTGTCCACTTTTCAGTTTTAGAGTCAGAATACGGTCAAAAAAGCTGACCGTGTCCATTATTGAAAGTGTCTACTTTATAAAATATTTTAATGTGAAGAAACTAATGGGAACATGGGAATCAGAATTTGCCCATTCAAGGGAGGTGTACGTCAAGGGAAGTTTCACTGTATATCAATTGAATAGATGAAAGTATCAGTGGTTTTATTTATTTTTAATTTTTTTTATGGGGGTTACCAACTGGTGTTTTTGAAAAAAGCCTATCTGGAGTACATTGGGTTCAAATTGAGGACTGCTGAGATTTGAACCCAGGAGCCTCTTAGAGATGAGTCGTCATGTCAATATTTTAACTGTTGAAGGCCACCAGTGATACTTTAACTGTGCTTTTGCTGTTTTGATGGCCACAACCCCAGTACAATAAAAAAACATGAAGAGTAGTAGCTGAAAACGATCAAACTATGAAATTACAAAACATTTTGTGTGGACTCATAGAAAGATTGCTAGTGTCCTATTAAAAACGGCAGTTAAAGGATTAAAGTTGTATACCTGTGAAAATAACATCGCACCAAAGAGGTCATATTAAAAAACATTAATTTATTTACAATTAAATTTACAAACAAAATCATATATCTAGGAATAATTACAAACACTATTAAGGAAAAATAAACAACACTTTTCTTTTTGTACAAATCATTTTGCCTTGGTTTATTTGAGTAATGTTTTGATGTCAATCAGGCCGTCCTCATCAACTTTAGGTAGAAGCTGACAGATAAGATCAGACTCAAATATCAAAATGTATTGACAGACTTGAGGCTCAAGGTGATATATGAGACCTAAATGTGTTTCATCCAGTTCAGTCTTTGGTGTGCATTGAAGTCTTACCTAATAAAGAAATAAATTGAGCAAATGCATATAAAATAAAACTATAACCACATATTTAAAAAAAAAAACAATCAGGGATAAGGCTTCAAATTTCAAAGACCTAATGGAGGAAGGGAAAATATTCTAGAAAGATTGTCGAAGAAACTGAGTACTTTCTTTCTTAATTGGCATCTTTTTTAAATATATGCTTATAATTTAAGGCTGATTACTAATTATATGATTTTACAATGACTGAATGCAAATTAATTTCAATAATAATAGTCCTCTATTTTTTTGCAGACTCTTTTTTATTCTAAAAACTTTATTTTTAACTTGGCAAAATACTTTCCAAGATATGGAATGAATGGGCAAAAATGAGATTTTTCAAGTGTTGGCACATTAATTTACATGATAAAGATGGGAGATCATGGATGAAGCCATGAAGGTTTAATGGAAAAACCCCCCATTAATTTACATGATTTAACATCGTAATTTAACATTTTAAGTAGATAACAAACCTCAGTTTCTCGGGGTTTTCCCGTTTCAGCGCATATATCACCATTTCCGTAGAAATGAGTGATGTATGTTCGTTTTCCTAGAGGTTTGGGGCGTTTACTCGGTTTTTTCTTTAACCACTGTTTGTGCACTTCCTCATCCCACACACCGAGTATGATCGAGGCTTTGTCCCTTTCGCCGTCCTCTCCGCTGCTGCTGTGAAACTGTTCAATGGGCGCTCCATAGCAAAAATAGTATTTCCACCAACCGAAACCCTTTGGAAAATACATTATGTAAAAGAGTTCTCAGCGACACAGACAATTCACATACTCCTTGTAAACAAAGCTTGCCCGATAGAAACATGGTCAAATCAGTTTCTTTTGAATCTTCCCCTTCAAGGACAATAGAAGCACTGCCTTGGTGTTCTTCGCTAATGCTTGCTGTACTTCCAGGTGCAATGAGCGTATCACTGGCATCGATTTTGTTTGACAAATCTGAAGTTTTCTCAGGAGTAACTGGTCTCAACTCCACTCTGACCTGCATTTTACCATCCTAAAAATAAATAACAAATATCATTAATGCAGGATTGAGATTTAATGAATATTTTCATATAACAAACAGTTGAACTGTTTACTGTCACTAATGTAGAAATTGCCCAATGAATTTCCTGATATTAAAAAGGAAAATAATTTTTACAAGAAAATATATTTAATGCTTGCAATGTACTTTAAAATAATAAAAAATAATGTGGATATGCTATAAAAAAAGAAAAAAAAATGGAGACGAGGAAAATTTAGAAAATTATGAAACCAATTATAGCTAAGAATTTGATTGCCGTATGAGGATGTCTATAAATGTCATAGAACATGTAAATAAATATAAATGTTTATGGTTATAAGCTGTACCATTTCAAATAATTTAAAAATATCGTTATTGTTATTATTTCTTTGATTATGCCGGAAAATTGTCCAAACAGTTGGGGCCTTCTTCCCATTGGTTCTGTTCATTACCAATATAGGGATTCAATTTTTTTTTCAATCAAAGTACAGCTAGTTTTCTATTTATCTCAGGTAAACAATTTATGATAATAATTATTTGTCAACCTTTGAAAGAGAAATTTGTCTCCTTTTGTACTGTTACATATTTTTAATGCAAAAAGAAAAAAAAAGTCAACATTTCAATTAGAAATTTGTCTTCTTTTGTATTCTTACATATTTTTTGACAAACAATGCAGTAGGAAAAAAAAATCCCTAACTTCAAAACCTGGCATTAATGGTAAATGATAATCGAGATTTTTTCTGTCAATCTCAGCCTCTGGCGAGAGACAATTTTTCAAATAAATAGTTAACTACTTTAAACGTGATAAATATAAACAAACCTTATCTTTGAACTCGTCAATAGAATAAACGGCAAATGTGTGTCCATTCTTCGCATCCTAAAAATAAAAATTGTAACAAAAAAACATAATTCTTTTGATGGATTTGGGAGAACTGGACAAAATAAAATGTGACAAAAAATAATAAGGGATTCTTGGAGGATTTATTTTAGGGATGGCAATCCTAAAATAAATATATTCATAGAAGAAAAAAAAAGTGAATTTCCAGAGATAGAAGAAAAAAATTACATACACCTACCTGATTTTGAAACAGATAATACAATATATATTATATTTTCTTTGGTGATTGATCAACCTTCTCAGTTTAAATATATTTTTTTTTCTTTCCAAAAGGTAGATTGGGGATGAGTCCTGGCCTCATCCCCAATCTACCTTTTGGAAAGAAAAAAAAATTAATATATATTATATAATATATGCACTTTTGAACAAGGGGATTTAATAAAAATCTTTAGCAACTAATTTATAATTTATTAAAATGAAAGCTTCTTACATCAAATGCAGCAGGAAAGAAAGATTGTTTGAAAATTTCAGCTTCCATCTCTGACAAGCTTTTTGGCTTTGTGGGCGATTCTCCAACAGGCAAACAATTGATGTCATGTTCCACATTGACTTGAGGTCTAATAAAAATACACGCATTATTAAAAAAAAAATACTATTTTAAAAAATTAACTCAACGTTTAAACTGTACCTGTATTTAGGGTGTCTGCACAATTCGGGTGATATGACAATGACTTCATACTCACAAGTAGAAGTTTCTTTAATACTAAATATGTCATTTTTACCATTTGGAAAACACACATAGAGAACATTTGTTCTCCTCGGTTTTCCATTCAGGTCACAGATCGTGCCTTCAGTAAAGTTAAATTGCAGATAAGGAAGTGTGATTCCATCCAGCTTTTTCATTGGAGGGATAAATTTTTTCCCTTCGACCTTCTCCTTATAAACAAACTCTTTGGTGAATTCAAGGCCTAAAATAAACTCCATTTTTTGAAGACAAATCTCAATTGTGGTTAAAAAAGAAAGAAAAACTAACTTAATTTATCAGTCATAGACATGTCCCATTTTCCCAGGTAGTACTCTTGGATTTTGACTTTTTTCCCTTCCCTTTCTTCATGGTATTGCCTGATGTGCTTCCCATGGCAAAGTTCATATGTCCAATACGATTCTAGCTGTAAATTTTAATGATCGAGTAGCTTGAAGTTATAAACTGAAGGCTTTAATTACCAGAGTAGTGCATGGAGAAAATAAAAACAACTTTATGAGCAGATCGATTGGGTTCGGTCCATTGTACTCTTCTTCAGAATCCTAAAAAAGTCAAGAATAAAGTAAATATTGTCGATAAATAAATAATGATAATAATAAATAAATAATTTACCTTTTTAGTATCTTTTATTACTGGTAAAACACATTTGTAAGTCTCTTTTTCATGTGTAGTAACTACCATAGTCTTAGCCACCTCTGACTCCTCCTAAAATAAAACATACAAATTAACACAAATCTATTAAATTGAGTAAAGAATGGAAAAAAAGTTAGGATTAGCATATTTTTAATGCAAAAAGAAAAAAAAAATCATCAACATATCAATGAGAAATTTGTCTCCTTTTGTATTCTTACATATTTTTTGACAAACAATGCAGTAAGAAAAATTAAAAAAATGCTATTAGGGTTTGTAATTTTCCTACAAAGGAGTATCATGAAGTAATAAGATGACTGAAAAAGAAGATTATGAAAAAAAGCCAAAATATTAAGCAATATTAATTTATGAATGCCAATTGTATTTTAGCTCACTATTATTGTAGTATAATCCCAAATAAGGTAGAAAAATATAAATTTTATACGATTTAAGGTCCCACTTAATTGAAGGGTGCTGCTCCTTAGCTCCATATAGTATGTAGGAATACCATCCAATATGAGCACAGCTGCAAGTATCTGGGGTCCCCTGTTCCGATTTTTGGAGGAAAAAGGACTGTTTAACAATATACAATACTTTATAGATATCTTGTGTGTTTTTTGGTGTATATTGAGAATGAATGTATTTCTTAGTGTGAATGTGTAGTGTGAGAGGGCCCATTGTGGTGTTGGAGGAATAACGAGTATTTCACCACCCTGATGATATGTAAATAGGAAAGAATGTATTTATGAATGAGTAAGGGTGTGAATGTGAATGACGGGAAGGATTGCATTAGGGGCAAGAATGACCTAGCTGTTGATATCCCTGGAGCCCAACTTCAGTAGCTGGACCGAGGTCTGACCCCGAACTGCTAACACCTGAGGTGAGTGATTCTAGATGCCTGGCAGTAATTTATAGTACTCCTTGACCAAAAACCTATATTTGACAAACATATTGGCCAAATAGTACAACTCCGAAACCGAATCAAGCAGTTGCAATTTCTTCTCAACAAAAAGTCCAACATACCTCTTGACATGAAACATATATAAGACCAATAAGGCTGTGAGATATGGGCATCAGCAAGTCTCGAGTGAAATAGGTTGAGACAGTTCAAAATCGGGTTCTGAGGTCAATAACAGGTGCGGTATGTGAGGAACACAACACTTTATACTGACCTAAAACTACCGATAGTAGCTGATGTTGCCACCAATGCCTACACAAGACTGAAAAGAAGTATGAGCACCCTCCCAAACCCTTTACTACAAGAAATTGGTGCTCATCCACCACCACCCAGAAACAACTGACATCCAAAAAGGAAAAGCCTTGGTGACTACGTTAAAAAAAAAGAAAAAACTATCAATAATAATCCATTTATGCTTAGTGGTCTAATCGACCAAATTACTGCTTTCAACTAATTATTATTTTTATGTAAGGTCTTGGTTGAAATGAAAAAGCTAGTGTCATGAGTGGGATTCAAACCCATGACCTTTGACTCAATACGCCGCTGTTCTAACCACTTGAGCTATCGTCACTTTGGTCCACTCGGACACCAACTCCCCATCTCAACCTACAACCTTTCCAATTTTCCCTATTTTATTTTGCCATTTGTCAAATGTTGTGTAATCAGGATTCGATTCTCAGTGACTTATTAAGTGACGATAGGGAGCTGTTAGTGAAGTGATACTTTTACAAGTTAAATATTAAACTGTTATTTTTGTGGTCTAATTGCTTCTTTCTGTTGATTATTCTTTTTATGTAAGGTCTTGGTTGAGATGTAAAAGTTGTGTGACCAGCGGGATTCGAACCCACGACCTTCGGCTCAATACGCCACTGCTCTAACCACTTGAGTTACTTCCGTCCACTATAAATAATGTAAATACTCTCCTGTTGCTTTAGTCCCTGCTATTTGCTAAACTGTAAAAATTCGTTTCTCCATTTCACTTATTATTTGTAAATTAATATGTACATGCTCCTATAGTGTGTAAAAAAGGAGAGTCTGTGGGACAAAATCCCACATCGTGTCACACATGAATTAGGACCGTAATACGCACCCTACTTATTGAAAATTCAGAAAAACTAGAATGTAATTTTGTTACAATAAAGTATATACTATAATAAAAAAAATTAAAAAGGACAGGATTTTCTTGAGGACCTGATAAACCAGTGGTCCCGACAGTCCAAACAACACTTACATAGTTTTAGGATTGAGACCCAAACTCCATCCTTAACTCGATTAAAATTCATACATTTATTTTTATTAACAATTTTAAAATTTTTGATTATTTCAATTAAAAGTTGTTTCGTGGTAGAATTGAACGTGGAGAGCGTGAGTTGGACAATCGTGTTTGAACAGTTGGATGCTTACGATGAGTTGGAAATTCTTTCCGGGCCAGTTGATGTTGTAGAGTATGGAATCGTCGAAAGCATGCCTCGAATGGTCTGAAGTGGCGAACTTTTGGAGGTGGAAGAGGAAGAGGCAGAGGGTCAGGGCATTCATCTTCCCATCAAAGTCCTTTTCTTTTACGGGCTCAAGAAGAAAAATCACACGCAATTTCGAGTTTCGGAACACAATTCGTACGTGTTCTCTGGCATTATCAGAATTTGGAACCTCAGGGCGGTTGCCAGCGGCAAGAATCGATATCCGCCCACTCGAGACAAACAAGAAATTATAAAACTTGGCATATTTTTTTGGATTTTACGTTTTCATTTTATTCAAGAAATTCTTCTTAAAGAAAAAACACTTACAATGGAGCGAAAAAAATATTGCCATAAATAAATCAAGTCATTGCACAAATTCTGTTCAATAATGGGCCTCACTGAACATAATTTACGATAAGCCTTTTTTTCCACCTGACTAAAATGGTCATCATATAGAGATAATTTAATGCACAAATATTATTCTTTGGTACAAAATTTTATCCAATCGAATAATTAACAAATAAAAAACCCCTATTCACTACTCAGGCTGGTCTTAAGTACCTAAGCCTTGTCAGCTCAACATTCACTTTATTTTGATACCTTTTCTAATATCTTAATCTATAAACTTAAGGACTTTCATTTTGAAAAAAAAAATCTTCATTACCTTAGAGATTAAGATCATGTCAAACACAGCAAAACTTGAAATGTAAACTTGAACATAATTTGACATTACTATAAACCTGTTTTTTCACCTCACTATTAGTGGTCATCATATAGAAACAATATTTTATATTTATCAATTTATTGGACAAATATTTTTTTTTAATACAAAAGTTTATTCAATTGAATAATTAACAAATGAAAATAAAAAAGATCACAATTCATTATGCAGGCTGGTGTTAAATACCTAGGCCTAGTTATGAGTTTAACATTCACTCTATTTTGACATTTTTTCTAATATCTTAAGCTATAAACTTAAGGGCTTTCATTTTGAAGAAAAAACTTCATTACCTTAGAGATTAAGATCATGTTAAAAACAGCAAAACTTGAAATGTAAACTTGAATTATGTGCCTCACTGAACATAATTTGACATTACTGAACATAACAGGTTTATACCTGTTTTTTCACCTCACTATTAGTGGTCATCATATAGAAACAATATTTTATATTTATCAATTTATTGGACAAATATTTTTTTTAATACAAAAGTTTATTCAATTGAATAATTAACAAATGAAAATAAAAAAGATCACTATTTACTATGCAGGCTGGTGTTAAATACCTAGGCCTAGTTACGAGTTTAACATTTACTCTATTTTGACACTTTTTCTAATATCTTAAGCTATAAAGAGACTAAGGTTATATCAAACATACAGAAATTTATAATGGAAGGAACAAAAATGTGTCATAAAATCAAGTCATTGCACAAATAATTTTTTTTAGTAAAAAAAGTTTATTCAATTGAATAATTACAAATAAAAATAAAAAGATCACACAGGCTGGTATTAAGTACCTGAGTCTAGTCATGAGTTCAATATTCACTCTATTTTGACACTTTTTCTAATATCTAAAGCTATAAAGAAACTAAGATTATATCAAATACAAAAAACTTAACATGGAAGGAACAGAAATGTGCTATAAAGAATTGAGTTATTACACAAATTAATCTCGTTCAATAATGTGCCTCAAAGAACATATTTTGACATTACTATAAACTTTTTTCACTTCATTACAAGTGCCATCATAGACAATGTTTAAATTTACCAATTTATTGCACATATATTTTTTAGTACAGAAGTTTTAAACTTCCTAGTTGTTCAACTTTTCCTATTTGGCTGACAATATTCAATTTTGTTTTTGTTTGTGTATACCGTACAAATTTTAAAATATTTCCATTTCTGAATTTTGATTGAAGATTTGCTACTTGTTTCACAGTATCAAAATTTTTACTTGTCTCTTATCTTTCAGCTCTAAGTTTTACAGTTTCTCTATTTGAAGGCTGTTTTAGATTAAAAGTAAACTCTAATTATTAGTGGAATGATTTTCTGTCTTCTTTTACATGTCCTTCATCCAGTGCCTCAAGAATCCAGCAGAAATAACTGTTTTTGACTATTTTTGAGTGATGAAAATGTAAGTTGTGAAAAATTATGTTAAATTTGGTGATGTGGATTTATGAAATAAGAAAAGTTTTTTAAAATATGTATTACAGTCATTACCTGAAGAATCCAGCAAGTGAACTGTTTATCCACTATATATTGATCAGATGAAAAAATTTTGAAAAAAAAATGGCTGTAGCTTAGTAATTTTCAATTTTTTGGTATTTATTCTGGGGGTTATATGATTTTTTGATGCCAACAGTTTTTTCGATAGTTTCTTTTCGGTCACAACCAAATATACGACGGTGTTTCATAGCACCTGAAACAAAATCAACACATTTTATTGGGTTCGTCTTCACTCACGGTTTGTTGAATAACTCAAACGCGTTTCGGCGTTGCGCCGTCTTCAGTGAGGATATGTCACTTTCTCCGAGTAGGATTTATGGCATTGGGTCCGTCTGTTGTCACTAGGGGCGCATGTGGTATGGAGCATAATCATGGGGTTCATTAGTCGGCTTGATGTCGGTTGCTTGCATTGTGTTTTCTGTATATTTGTAATTCGGAGACGCATACATTGGACACATAACCCAATGACACATAACCCTATGCCCTATGTGACCTTATGCCCTATGTGACCCTATGCCGGTTGCCTATTGTGGTTTGTGCTTTTTTATGAATCTATGTAAATAAAGGCCAATTATCTATTACATTAGTTTGAAAAACAAATAAATATTAATTGACTATAAGGATTTGTTGAATAATATTTCTTTCCAACTGTGTTGAAACCAAATTTTATTACTGCGGTCGCAAATATCGTTGTTTTCCCGTTTTCTCTCAAATTGAAAACGATGTAGGCCGACTCTAAAAGATTTCATTTATGTGTAATTACATACCTGATATATTAACTGATATATAACGTTTCATTTCAAAACGGCCGGAATTCCCTCGTTCAGATTTAACATTTTTGGAATTCCGGTTTTTGCCCATGAAGGAATGCTGATATATTGGCGAATGGCTAACACTCGCGAGTCAAATCCTACTGCTATCTTCTAATAACAAAACAAATTTTTATTTCATGCCTTCTTTTTTATCGTGCCAATTTAGTACTTGTAAAAATTGATAATGTTGTTAAGACCAGCAATTCTATAATAAATGTATTATATTTTTGCTTTGATGTTTTTTTCTAACAAAGTTTCTTTATTTTGATTATAGAAATAAATATATGGAAAAAGAAATAAGGCATTTAGAAATATTAAACTTCTTGCAAGCTTGCATTTTTATTTTTCAAATAGTAAGTATCATTCGTGAAATTAGACAAATTACAAGAAAAACTCCGCTTATCTATTACTTAATGAAGCTTAATTTAAGCCTCTTCCCGGGAGTGTCGTCACACTGTTAGTAAGATTGGGAAGCCAAGCCGCTATTAAAGCATTAGCATGTGAATCATATCAAAATTGTTCAGTGAAAGCATCCATAATCTCCAAAACATGGGGAAACTCAACAACCTTGTCGATCTCTTTAAAGGTGAATTTCGGGTAACAAAAAGCCGACATACTGGCCAGAGGAGGATCTGCAAGACCATTTATAAATCCTGAACCTATTCTTGGGACAACAAAAACAAACAGAATCTTCCATCACAGAATGGATCCAAAAAAAGACAAAAGGAAAACTCTAAAAACATGGGCATATTTAATGATGTCCCCATTTTTAGGTTATGCAATGAAGAGGAAGAAACAGCCACCCCATGTCATATTCGAATGTTAAGCAACTACTCAAAGGACATAACCTGGGATACAAAGAAATCCCAGGGAAAGGAATTGTAGGTACGACACTCTCTAATTTTTTAAAGAAGGTGGAGTCGATTGCACTGAATTAGGAACTAGGAAAGTACAATAAGTTGCCCAAGCTGCTTGGGAACAGAACACTCCTCTTCCTAATATCCTTCATCATCCTTATTTAGCTTAACTTAAGCCTCCTCCTGGGAGCGTCAGTGACCGCAACGGTTAAGGCACGGTGCTCATCACTTTAAAATGAGATCTGGTTCGAATCCAGGGCTTACTATTTTTTTTTGCAAATGTGCTTATGTGATCAGACCCACGTTTGACCCAAGTGGAGTTTTTAGGCCACCAAACTTTCTTTGGGTGTATGGTATGGTTTGGTATTGTGGAAAAGGAGACTAGGAAGCGGGTTTGTATTCCCCAAGCACTGCAGCCTTCTGGCTTATTGTACCTTCCTAGTTCCTTAGTTCAGTCAATAGACTCAATCCTTCTTCTTAGAAGTATCAGGTCATTGACTGTTGCTGCTGCAATTTGATTCCATAAGTCTTTTCCGTACGTTAGGTTAAACCTCCATTGAGCTGTTGCTTCGCATTCGAAGATGATATGAGTGGCCTCCTCCTCATTACATAATCTGCAAATGGGATCATCGCTTATATACCCATGTTGTGTAGATGTTTTCTCAGATACCTGTGACCAATTAGTAGTCCTACCACTCCTCTGAGTTTGGCCCTCTCCAATTGCAGCAGTGTTTTTGCCAGTCTCGGTGAGGGTTGTTTTATCATACGTTTGCTATGTCTAGCACCGCTAGAGTTTATCCACTTCTCCTTTTGTTTTGCTTGGATCCATTCTGCGATGGAGGATTGTATATTTGTTTTTGTTATCCCAAGAATAGGTTCGGGGCCTATGTGTGGTCTTGCAGATCCTCCTCTGCCCAGTCTGTCTGCTGTACCCAAAATTCCCCTGTGCCCTGGCACCCAAGATATCATCAGGTTGTTGTGTTTCCCCAGGTTTTGGAGATTTTGGATGCATTCACTGACTAATTTTGATGTGATTCTTTTACATGTTAATGCTTTCTTTGGGTGTACTTTTGATAGTGAATAAGTGTACATTTATGAAGTTCGTTTACAAAACGAAATCCCCTTCTAATGGGTTGACTTTTAATTCTCCAAATAGGCCTAACAGTTAAAATAGTTGCAAATGTACGCGTCTTCTATATAAACGTGCGCCCGTTAGCAAAATAGTGGACAGAAAAGGTCTAGTCAGTTCTGAATTCATTACTAATTGCTCGATTACTGTTCAATTTGAGATGAGAGGAATTTAATAGGACCTTTAATTAAGGTATTGTTTTATTTAACAAGTTGTTCAACTCGTTAATGGCTGCATGAAACAAGAGGCGATTGATAAGAAATGATAGGAATTCCCAAACTTGATTTGACTCATGAATCAACTATTTAAATAGAATCTTTATTCGTATATCAAGACGATATTGATACAATGTAAAAGGCGACGGGTTTCCTCGTGGTAAATAATCTGCGAATTTCCTTTTCAAAAGTTAGTGGCATATAATTCTTACCATCCTCGGTACATTGGAGTGAATAGAATGGGTAAATTTGATATTAAAATTGGTGAAAAGCAGGGAAATGTTCTAAATCTTTTTCTTAATTCAATAAAGTTATGTTGTAAGATAACTTAGAAATCGGAGTTACGTGCCAAATTATTGATATTCGTATTCATCAAATTCACTAATTTCGTGGTCCGCTTGACCAATTATTACAACTAATTAAGGTTTTTTAGTTGAGATAAAAAAGTCAATGGCACGAGCGGGATTCGAACCCACGATCTTCGGCTTGATACGCCGCTGCTCTAGCACTGGAGCTATCGTGACCTCGATCCACTCGGACATCACCTTCCTATCTCAACCCCACCTGTTGATGTCCGAGTGGATCGAGGTCACATTAGATCAAGTGGGAGAGCAGCGGCGTATCTAGACGAAGATCGTGGGTTCGAATCCCGCTCGTGCCATTGACTTTTTTATAAACCTTAATTAATTGTAAGATATTCGTATTGTAAATTTTGCTTATGTTGCAATTTACTAGATCAATAAGTGAACTGTTTCGCCAAATAACGGGTAAATGAGCGAATGTAAATTTTTGAATATGTTTTATTTACATTTTGAACTAATTGTAAGTCCGCTGTTTTACTTTTTATGTTTCTGATAAGCTGATGATGATGGATACTCGGAGAAGGCTTTTTTTTGTTCCTCAAGCATTACAGAATTGACTTATTGTACCTTAGTTCAGTGCAATCGACTCGATCCTTCTCTTAAGAAGTACTAGGTCATGATTGTCGTTGCATGGGTTTTCTTTGCATCCCAGGTTTGCCTCCATTGAGCTTCATATTTGAAGTTGATATGGGTGGCTTTTTCTTCCTCCTCATTGCATAATCTACAAATGGGGTCATCATGAAAAGTACCCATGCTGTGAAGATGTTTTCTCAGATGCCAGTGACCGGTAAATAGTCCCATCACTCCTCTGATGCCCTCCCTAACTGTTGCAGTGAGTTTGCCCGTTTTGGTGAAGGTTGTTTTAACATAAACCTACTGTGCCTAGCACCTCTAGAGTATATTCACTTCTCCTTTGCATTTTTTAAAATTCTATGTTTATTTTTGTTATCCAAAATAGGTTCAGGGCCTATATATGATCTTGCAGATCTTCCTCTTGCCAGTGTTTCTGCTTTTCGTTACCCTAAATCCCTTGTGTCCTGGAACCCAAGATATCATCAGGTTGTTGTGTTTCCCCATGTTTGGATGTATTCACAGACTATTTTGATGTTATTTTTTTACATGCTAATGCTTATGAAGATTTTTGGGCAATGTAACCTCTTGTAAGATCGTCTAGGTTACAAGCATTTATTTATTCGTATGACTTCAAAGACCGACATGTACTTCCCATAATGAGCTTGATTCCTCTTATTTTGGGTTTGTACAGAATATACCTGAACCGTTTCCTTAATTTGTTTTGGAGCCATTCGATTATCACGTCATGGTATTTCATTTCCTCCTGAATTTTTCCTCTCTTTGCAGTATGCAGACTTTGTAGGATGTTATAAAGAGTGTTTCTGAGATCATGTAGTCTCCGTTTCTAACACGGATAAAAAATGTTAAGAATAATAAGCTAGTAGTTTCCATTGTTTCCATTTCTCTATGTGGACTTTTGGTCTGACGGGTTTTGGCATTTCGATGATCCTGAAAAGCTTTGTATTTTCTGTATGATCTAAATGTCTAAAAATTATGAATTAAGTGGAAAAGATATTTATTTTCAAATGTCCTTTCGTACGTTGGCCTTTTCCCGGTCAATTTTTACATTTGAAAGATATGTTTGAACAGGAAGGCGAGGAAATTGTGCTAATCTCGTTTTTTATAAACGCTCCACTTTCCCTTAAACCAAAAAAAAAAGCAAAGTAATCGCTCCTAATATCTAGACGGTCCCTCTGCGTGGAACATTTTTCACTTTTCCCCCTTTTTTTTCCTCTCACTCTTTCTCCTCCATACAACAATTTTCAACTTATGCGGGGCCGGGCGTCATTCCTCGTTTTATCATCCCGTGTCACTTTTTCTGGCAGTAGTTCAAATTCCGTTTTACAAATACGTTTATTCGTCGATTGTTCACTGTTTATTTAATAAGAACGACTTGTCGGTGGAAAAAAATCCCACAGGATTTAGTTTTTCTCAAATCCCCCATTTCAATTGCTGCATGACGAATTTGGCTGACAATAGAATATTTCGTATCAAACAAACTCCTGGTGTAGATCTTCTCCAGCAATACCATCCGCAGTAATATTCGGACATGATCTTTTGGTCTGCACACTCTCACTGGTTTGGTCTTTTCATCAAACTGATCAACAACGACCGAGGTCCACCACCCTGCAGACATCCTGAAGAAATCTCACAAGTTGAAAATGAGTTTCTGCACCTCTTGACTAAATCTATTGAAATTTTGTGCACTTTTTACTTATACTTTGAAAACGGGGTTGTTTTATTGTATACAGTAGTGATAGTTTTGTGCACCTTGCATGAGATGAGAGTGAATGTATTTATTAGCGTGAATGTGTAGTGTGAGAGGGTTGATGAATTTGGCTGACAATAGAATATTTGCTATCAATCAACTCTTGGTGTAGGTCTTCTCCAGCTATAACATCC